ACAACTCTTTTTAGTTGCAATTAACGATATCGAGAACAGTATCCGAAATCCTGTTTAAAGCAATCCTATATGCAGATTACTCGTAATCTATATTTTTCATTAGAATCTTAATATGGCATCAAACACTATTCAACTTTCTATTAATTCCCTACAAGAATGGTCTAAAACAACAGGACTAAAATTTTCTACGGTTAAAACCAAGTGCTTTAGATTTCTAGGTATAATTTTTTGATTCAAAACTTACTTTGAACAAATACATCCAATTACTTATAATTCATTGTTTACAGAACTTAAATATTCTTCAAGTACTAGCAAACCATAACTGGGTGCACACACAACACAGCTACTAAATATTTACAATCCTTAATCCGCAGTAAATTAGATTATGGATCAATTGTATATAATTCAGCTAAGAACTCAACATTAAAAGTGTACAAAATACCGGACTAGCTCTAGGAGCCTACAGAACCAGTCCAGTTGAAAGTCTTTATGTAGAAGCAAATGAATCTCCACTTTTTATTAGAAGAATACGTCTCAGTTTACAATACGCAAGCAAGCTATCAAGTAATCCAAACAACCCGGCCTACCCCGATGCTCTCTCCACACATTACCATTCTAATTACAATTAAAATCCTAATCTTCGACCATCATTTAGCAAAATAATTAGCAACTTCACATTTACGGGTATTATGCATACCAATATTGATTATGCTCCCCTTGGACTTAGTGTTGCCCAAAATCGGTCTTGGTCTTGCAGTCTGGTCTTGTTCTTTCGTTTTTGCAAGACCAAGACCAAGACCGCTAATTTTAGCAAGACCAAGACCAAGACTGACCTTGCAAGACTTAAGCAAGAACAAGACTAAGCCTGCGAGACTCTTGCGTCTTGCAGTTAGAATTGAGTGTCGTTTTAGCGAATATAGTAGTTCGGGTATATGCTTAAAGACTCTATAAGACGCACAAAAATATGTAATAAAAATTTGAAAAACTGGACTTATGCGCATTACGAACAATACCATAAACATACATACCGAATCAAAATATTCATTAAAAAAACACATTTGACAACGTGCTCAGACTTCAGAGGTCATAATTACAATGTAAAAATAAAATATTTTGTACATTCTTTCCCAGCAGACGACTTCTTCGCTCTGGAATTAATTGTCCAGATTTTGATAAAAGATGAAAAATTTATTATTACACTTATATTAAAATTTTATTTAAATATTTAAATATTCATTTAAATAAATAAAATTGCACCAAACTAGAAGCTTTATCTTTAATGGTAAAATACGAAAGTATATTATTTAAAACTGTGAATTTTCTGTGTTGTCAGTTCGGCAATTGATTAAAGAAATTTTTAAATTCCTTTTATCACAGATAGTGTACCGAAAAGGTAACATAATATGTTTTGCGATTACTCGTATGTTGTGTCATCAATGCCGACAAAAAATTACATTATTAAATAACGAAACCTATTGTTTATTATATAAAATATTGGAGCTGTTGCTTGATAGTCAAAATTCTGGTCAGCAAAATATTGTATGTCTTTTTAACAAAGGAGTTTGATATTTCAACTTTCAAACGACTGCGGCTGGTTGTTATTATTTAGGCTGTTGGTATAATATTTTAAAGCAAAATATCACAATTGTTTTAAAGCAAAATATCACAATGTTTTTTTCTGTGTATTTACCATTTCGGAGGGATAGACGGTTATTGCAAAATGACCAACTTATATTTTTACAATTTTGCAAAAACCGTCTAAGCCGCTTTAAGTTATTTTTGTAATAAACTGTTTTTACTTATTTTGCTTTTGTACGTTTTTTAAGGAAGCCTGTAATTATTGAAATATAAAAATGTGAAAATAAAGCCTTATTTTCTATCAGTCAATTTTTTAAAGTAGGTAGATACATTATGCTCATTGACTCTGAACCATATATATGTGGCTTAAACTATTATTGCAGAATACCATCCTTATAATTCTCGGTTTGTTATTCGGTACTTAGGGTATTAGATAGTACAGTGGCGCACGCAGAATTTTCCTGTGAGGAGGAAATTTTTTTATGCTACCTCCATTTCGAGTCCTTAAAATTTGTGAGGAACAGTGTCGGAATAGTGCCCTGGGGGTTTCAACCCCAAAACACCCCTGGGTGCGCCACTGAGATAGTAACGAACATAAAGTAACTAGTAGTAGTTACTTTTTCGACATCACTAAACTTCATTCCCAATTGAGCTTTTCTTTGAGTCTAATGTAATAATTATTGTTTTCCATCTAATCCTTGTTGTTCTCGGAGTGACAAGTTTACAATTTGACATAATAGATAAAGATTCAAATAGTTCTAGTCGGAAGTAGTGAAGTTGGAGTTGTAGATCTAAAAGACGTAAAAGCAAATTTGATGAGTTTTTCGAAATAATTCATGCATCCCAAATTGCTTTGTGTAAATTGTGCCTACATAGAAAGGTTGAAATGAAAATGAAAAACAGAAACACGTTAGGATTAAGGAAGCATCTAATATATTTTCACAAAAAGGAATTACAAATATTTCTTCCTGAAAATCCAAAATTCGGTGGATATATCACAAGCTTTTTAATAACCGCTGGAAAAAGTGGACATGTTAAAAAAATATACTTATTACCTTATTACCAATCACATATATTATGTACCTACTACTTTATTTGGGCAAATTAATGTATTTATTAAGTAGGTATCTCCTTAATTTAAAATAATTCTTTTGATTATCATTGCTTTTTTACCTATTCCTTATTTTTCAAGTTAGTATTTTATTAAAAGTAGAGCTAAGATTGTTAACAACATTTATTTTGCTTTAATAAGTGGATTATAGTTTGTTATCTGATCACCTAAAGAATCTGTGTCCTTGATACATGTGAATTTTTTGCCACATACCAATCTTTTTTAAGATTTTCATTTCATATATATTGGGGGTCCATCAATTCCTTTCTAGAAAGATAATTTTCTTTACAATACAGTTTATGTCATTAATTTGGGTTTTCTGTATTTTAACCATGTTTTAGCACATGTAAGCTTATGCAAACGCAAACGTTTATTAAGAAACAGATTGACTTCCGTAGAGAATAGTAGATAGCTGAGTTAGTTAGAGCATAGGCACGGATCGCTTAGATCGTGGCTTCAAACCCCACCGTGTGTCAGTTGTTTAGACATTTATTAATTTGGTTGGTCTTTATTATGGCTATGTTAATTCAAGCTTAAAATGTACTTACTCTGTTACGTTGTTCTAAGATCCAAAGTAAAATTGAATAAATAGCAATAGGCTAATGGGTAACTGCAAGACTTGCAAGACTGTTGCTGCAAGACAAAGACCAAGACCAAGACTAGGAGTGCAATACCAAGACCAAGACCAAGACCAGGTATATTGGTGCAAAGACCAAGATCAAGACTGTCTAAGTCTCGTCTTGTTCTTGCATTTGGTCAACACTACTTGGACTATACAAATTTCATATTTTAACACAGGTCTGTCAACTTATACTAAGGACAATACCCCTTCATCTCTTTTTCTCCAATATTTCTACAATATTAAAAATAAATATTCATCATGTCAACTAGTTTATACCGATGCATCAAAAACAAACCGAATTAGAATCAGTAGGATCCGCCATTCTCACAGAGGATTCTGTACTCAAGTTTCCACTATCTAAGGACTACTCAATATATTCTGCTGAATTTTTTAGTATATCCAAGACAGTAGAACAACTTTTAATCGACCTGAAGACATGACAGTAATATTCATAAATTCCTTAAGGGCAATCCAGGGAATTCACAAAATATATCCGAATCATGCGATTTTAGAAAAAATTAAAAAAGATCTTATGACTCTACAAAATAATCATAAACAACTACATATTGTGTGGATTATGTCTCCCCACATCTAATGTGGGGAGACCAGAAAATGAGATAGCTGACTAAATGGCCAAAGAAGCTTGTAAAATGGAGAGATCCGATGATAGAACTAACCACATTCCTCACTAAGATATGAAAAAATGCATCAATGAGGACAGAAAAAACTTACGGGTACGAAAATAATGGCAACTCTTACCAAATAATAAATTGCGGCAAGCAAACAAGTCTGCAAGCATAAATACGTGTGCATTACAGTTAAACACAGTATCTAAGTACTTTTCAATTTTTTCACTATCCCAAATTACAATATAATTTATCTTAATAGTTCCCTCTCCAAATAAACATTAGATATTAACATTCATTAAGGATTTAATAATTAATCAAACCAATTTTTTTAATTATTTTTCAAGTAAAATAAGGTACATCAAAATTTGTTATTTTATATTGTTCTAAAGCCATTAAAACAGAAATTGTTATTTTATTTAGTATTTTGTACTGCTGATATGTTTAAATTTCCCAATAAAACAACATTTCTAGATATAAATACGCATGGGAAAGTGGTCACTTAATTAAACTCGATATTGTTTTGTTTAAATGATCATCAGGTCATGATGCATTCTAATTGTGACAATATGGTGGCCGGCAGTGGCGACAAGGAGAGCATCCGCTCCTGAAACAGTCGAAAGAGTCGCACGCCTATTTTACAACCTTTAAATATACTACTCTCTCAATTCCAGCCATCCATATGACTTTCGGATGGATAATGAAGTTAATCGAATAAGAAAAATGTTACACTTACGCGTATGCCATCCGCTCTGCTCAGGATATCCGTTTTAGTAGCCATTTTGCATGTGTACCAACCGCCAAATCAAAATTAAATAACAGACTTGACAATAACTTTATAAATATCTTTGTTTCAATAAAAGAAATCGTGCTAGACGGGTTACAACAGCATAATTATCAAAGAATATAGACGCTTAGCGTCTTAAGCGTCTATATTCTTTGTTATTATGTTTATGTATCTTATTTTAGTATTATAAGTGCTGTTATATATATATATATATATATATATATATATAATATATATATATGATTGTGCTGTTATTTACATCATAAAGCAATAAATATGGTAAACTATTGAATTACGCAATTGGTCTAATCAGAATATACTTTAATGGTGTACAAAACCACCTTAAAATTTTAAGGTTTTTAAAAATAGATCATTTGTCGTTCTAATTAATCTATCTATTATTTTTTTCTTATTTCGTTTCTTTTTGTTTCAGTGTGTAAAGGGATGCAAGCTATGGAAGAAAGCGTTGACATCAACCTGCAGAGAGACATGTGTAAGTTTATTACATAATATAGTTTCAGTGATCTGATTTTGGTAAATTGGCATTTATTTGTCTAAATAATAACTTCCATAGTTACAACACATATTATTACATGCATTCAAGTAATTATTATTACTTTGCCCCAAATTTTCGAATTGACAGGGACGCCGACTTCGTTGGTGCTAGGAGGTCCCTGTATGTATGAGAGGCAAATATTGAAATCTGAGTCCCCATGAGTAACAAACCGATCGAGTGGGCATAATCCCGCCAAAAACTTACATGCCAAATTAGCAGACCTCCCAATAATAGGCAATTTACGAAAATTAAAAAAATTTTTATTAAATTCCGATCAAAAATGTCTATGGTAGAAATAAACGGACGATTTAATCCACAAATTAGGATAGCTATCTTACTACCATTTAAAATGTACTAGGTAATGTAATTAATTCTAATTCGAAGGACCACCCACCAACGAGGGAAATAAGAACACAAGCATTAAACAATACTTAATTTAATGATTACTTTATTACTACAACTAAGTTAAGATCTTACCAAAGCTATAGCTTAAAACACCAGACAAGAGCACTGTTACTGTTTAAATATGATATTATTAAAATTGTCACATGAACCAAGGATGTTTCTTTCAGTATTAATATACTTTATTATTAATGAGGGTTTGTGAAACATGTAACCTTTAAACTATAAGCTATATAATAATAACTAGGTATACTCAATACGCGAGGCTCTAAAAACTCTTAAACCAAAAATGCGTCGACCCCTTTGATCGAATACTAAACTGACGCTGACTTGGCGCAAAACGACTTTTCAAGACCCTTCCATTGTAAAAATGAACAAGACAATAGACAAGGAGATGGACTGTCGTGTCTCTTATTTAACCTTGCACTAGAAAAAGTAATTCGAGAGTGCCAAATTAATACGAATGGTACTATCTTTAAAAAATCTGTACAAGTGGTCAGATATGCAGATGACATAGACATTATTGCTAGGTACACAGAATCTCTGATCGAAGCATTTCGATCATTAAGAGCGTCTGCACTGAGAATGGGATTAAAAGAATGCACAGAAAACCAAGTATATGTATTGTACTAGATCAGGCAACCAGATACCTAGACTATTAATTAATGATCTGGAACTGGAAAGAAATGATCTGGAACTGGAAAGTGTGGACATCTTCGTCTACCTGGACTCGCTGCTGACCAAGGACAACAATTTCAGCGAAGAAATTAAAAGAAGAATAGTGTTTGCCAATAAGTGCTATTGTGGCTTGAGGAAACAGATGGCCCCAAAACTACCCAGAAAAATTAAAATTACCATATATAAAACACTAATAAGGTGTTAACATACGGATCAGAAACGTGGTCACTTACACAGAACGACCAAGAATTGCTTACCCGTTTCGAGAAAAAATTCTAAGGAAAATATATGGAGGAGTTCAAGAACAGGGTTTGTGCCGTAGGTACTACAACTTTAAGTTATACAATAGTTTTGAGAAACCTGAGGTTGCGAAATGTATTAAATTATCTCGTCTTCGATGCATAAAACATGTAATTAGGCGAGATGAAGAAACAACGATCAGAAAACTTTTCGACCGAAGAGGACCAGTGGGAAGACGAGCCAGAGGAAGACCAAAACTTAGGTATCAAGATAACATACAGGATGATCTAAAATCCATCGAAGTTAAAGCATGCAGAAGAGTTGCCAGAGACAGAAGCACATGGAAGATTGTTCTGAAGAAGGCTTTGGCTCATAACGAGCTGTAATACCACTGATGATGATAATGATGATGAATTTGTTGTAGTTTTTAATTTTTTCTATAATAGGGGTGTCCAAATATTGAACATAACTAATATTTTAAATACCTGTCTGGTAGTAACAATATTACACTATGACACAGTAGTCTCTTATATTACTAAAATAAACAAATATGTGAAAAGATGTATTTTGATTGTTAATTTTACAAAAATTATGAAAATATAAAAATTGCTTAAAAAGCTTCAATTTTGTTTGTGAGTCACCAAAGCACTGAATATACCATCCTACATTGCATTTGCCGCATTGTGTTTTCACAGCGCTCGATTATGTGTGACTGCCAGCACAACGTCTTCTTTTATTATTCTGAATATATTCAACATACCCTAATATCGACAGCAATTCTGCTTTCAGGTGAATATGTGGATGATCGTCCAAGAGCTCTAAGTAGGTTTTGAAACCTTTTTATATACACTTGTGCTATGTCTCTTCCAAAATTCAATTGCAGTGCACGTGGGGGATGGTTTTGTATATATTATCTACGAATTTTGAATAGATGTATCTGGTAGCCAAGTAAAGATAAGCCACCACCATTTCTTGCCTCTAATTCGAACTATATAAACATTTGTATTTGCATCCATTTGATCGGTAGCCCCCATAAATTCATTGTATTTTTCAATACAATTACGTCTAGAAATCCCTATTTTCTTTTTTAAGTCGATGAGTATTTGCATTCGATACTTGAGAAACTCCTTTGAATAGTTGATGCTACAGTAACTACAGAATTAACTCTTTTACTGTCCGGAGTGGACAATTCTTACTTAGTCTATTTTCTCTAACTGTCCCTGTTGCTCCATAATCATTTTCTTTTAAATAATAAAGGGTATTGATGGATGTAAATAGGTTATTCAAAATCAAAATGGCAAATTTTTATTTTGATAACCTATCCTAATCCTCTTTTATGAGGTCTTGGGACCAGCTGTAGGCATGAATGCGGCTTCTGAGCTACTCATTGCACCCAGTCATCACGCTCTTAACCCCCAGGCAGAGTTAAATTTTTAATATGTACTGGTGAAATAATAACCTACCTTTTAGTAGAACACATTTCGATACTTAGTCAAAACTGATGTTTTTGCTTTCGCCTACAACTGAACTTCGCACTAACCATGATACATAAAGGCGATTTAAGTTATTGTATCATGACACTAATAGACCTAAAACATCTACTGAGGTTTTGAAGGTCAAGCCTTAAGCGTGACGCGTAAGTCACGATAAAAAGATCGTTGTTTAGTGTATCGTATATGGCACCCTAGTTCCTAGGTTTGTTAGTATATCTCTTTGAAAAAGTATAAGAAATTTATATTAACAAAGACTCCAACATCTTAAAAAAGATATAACTGAAAATTATATAAATTTAGAATGGTCCATCATAAATAAATGAAATAAAAAATCAGCAATTGAAACAACTAGAAAATATAAAAAGATAACAAAGAAAAGACAATACACAATAATCAAGACTAAAGCACATAATAAGAAACATTCAGAATGCCCACTCTCAGATGCCGCCTTTGAAGTTTTTCAGCACGCGATCGCCATATTTTACACGGAAACATATACTCGAATTGAGAAATTTATGACAAACTACAACAGAATTGTAATTAAATTTTTAGAGATTAATAATTTAGTACATTTGAAATAATTTAATCTATTCTTCAACTAAAAGTACGAATAAAATAGTGCATATTATGTCTATATTTGCCGTAAATAAATTAAATCGGGTTAATTTTTTATGCACACCAGATAAAATGTCACTGAACAGCACTGGTTCCATTTAAAACATGGCTGATTCCGTCTGCACGAACGAGGTGCGCGTACTTATTTTTTCAAACAGATTGGGCATTCTGATTATTTATTATTCTGTGACTAAAGTATATAGAAAAACACAATGAAGCTAAAGCTATTGTAAGAAAAGTCCATTCCAGAATCATGAGATAAGCTAATAACAAATATTGAAAATGGTAAGTCTGGGTGGCTCCAGAAGTACCCTGTCTGACCTAGAGATGGCGGTAGTTGTTTGAAAACTATCACTACGTTAGAAAGTACACAATCTATAAAACATATTTTTGTGGCGCCTTTAAACAAGTTTAAAGGTCCCACGTTGGTTAGAGCCAGAAAAGGTGAAGAAGATCCACAAAGTGGTCCTGGATGACCATTTACTGAAGATGCGCGAGCTAGAGACTTGGTAGACATTTCAAAAAGTGCTCCTGGATGACCATTTACTGAAGATGCGCGAGCTAGAGACTTGGTAGACATTTCAAAAAGTGCGATACATCGCATATTGATTAAAAATTTGAACATTAGAAAGCTGTTTCTTAATATTGTTCTGAAGTTATTTTCTTGTGGCATTGTAAATTAATTACTATTAATAACTGGGAATAAGCCACAATTAAAGATAAAAATACGTTTATTGACGTTTCAATTTCCAATTCGGAAATCGTTCTCAAAATACAAACAGTGTATTTTAATATAAAACTGTTTTGTATTTTGAGAACGATTTCCGAATTGGAAATTGAAACGTCAATAAACGTATTTTTATCTTTAATTGTGGCTTATTCCCAGTTATAAATAGTAATTAATTAGAAAGCTGTGTGCAAGATGGATCCTGCGTTTGCTCACACTCGAGCTAAAACAATGCCGTATCTGATAAAATGAAAAAAGCTACCATACCAAAAGAGACCATAAAACAAAAGAAAAATCGGAAAGAATCGGACCCAGATTAGATAAATGCAGTAATAATAAAATGTGAAAACAATGCCAGGTTTTAGAATTTTACACTGAATTTTACAACTAGAATTTTACAACTGAACGAATGTTGGAAAACACAAATATGTACCAGATGCCTGGAAAACTACACCAGTGATTCCTTTATTTAAAAAAGAGACCGTAGCATATGTGCAATAACTCTAGAGGCATTACCTTATTAAACTTTGCATATAAATACAAATGCACTTAAATACAACTAGTCATTTAACAAAAAAAGGCGGCATCTTTATTATCTCAAATTATTTAAGAAATTTTACTATTTAACTTTTTTTGAAAATTAACAAAATTATGAAATAATTGTTTCTATTTCAGAACGCCACAACCGAACGACCGAATCCAAAAGAGCTCTACTGTGTGATAGGCTGCAACGATGCCGTAACTAAGTACTTTTCGAATTTACGTAAACTCCTAGGCACTCCCCCCGCTCCTGCTCTGCTAGCGGATTCCTTAAAATCTGACTCCTTAAAATTAGAATGGAACTATCCGGATGCTAAGAAAACTGGTATCAGTTGTTTGCTTCAGTGGCAGTATGAAGAATTTTCTACCTCGAAATCTTCTTGGCAGTACTGCAGAAACACCACTTGGGACCCGGATAATAATATATTTTATGTACAAGATTTGCAGCCTTACACCAAATATCGAGTAAGTATTTAATATTTTTGAATAAATTGACTAATTATTCTTTATAATATTTAACTGTTTTAACTTTAACACTAAGTTTGGTTCAATTCTTGGATAAACTGTCTCAAATTTTCTCTTACTTGAACAGAACAACTAATTTTTGTTTAATTAGATAAACTTTTTTAAATAAAAGTAAATATATTTGAAATTTAAAGGATCTACGTACAAATCATAAGAATCTATATTTTTTTGTATGTTAGACACAATAAACACTTATCTTCAAACAGAATTAAAAATAGGTTTCTGTTTTTAGTAGAAAATAGATAATAATTACCATTAAGTATATCTTTACTAATTAAGAGATTTTACTAATTAAGAACACATTTTATATCTATATCTTGAACTTTTAATCAAAAACCATACACAAGTTATAATTATAAATCCTTGAAGCCATAAATTTTGCCTGATAAACTCATAATTATAACTTGCAAATATCTAAGTTATAAAAAAAAGAGTACAAAAACATTCTAAATGCAATAATAGTGGTTTTATGTAAAAGAATTGGTAGTGAGTTACATCTGAGGTACAATAGACCGTAAGTCCTTCCCACTTAGGAATAACTATAAGAAACATATGACGTAGTCAAATATGTACGAACTGTTTGAGTACTATGTTGCCTGGTTAGTTCTTAGGATCACTGCTGTCTTAATCTCCATTAGAGCAGTTTGTAGCTTCTACAACACAAAACACCAAAACCGTAGAGGATTGGAGATCTGCTTTTTTGTAATTTTTTGTTAGTAGTACTTATGGTAGATGCATGGTGTCGCATGAGCTCTTGATTAGGGAAAAAAATGAAGAGACAATGCCAAAATATGCAGGAAATACGGAGGCTTCAAAGAACTTAAGGAAACGATAGAAAACCAATTTCCCAACTATACGGAGAAAACGGAATCGTCTACTCAATAGAAGAGAAAGCCGAGGTGATGAGAAGAACTCTTGAGAGAGAGTGTACATTGAATTATCAGCTAGACGATGACATAGACTTAATCGATGAAGGCGAAGAAACAGAACTAGAAACGCCCGAAAAACAAGAAGAAATAATAAATCCCACATCATCAAGAGAAATAAGTAAACTGATCAGCGAAAGTTCACCAAAGAGAGCACCTGGTTCAGTCAGTAAGATAGTAGAACGAGTCATCCAAACCTGATTTCATTCAAAGACGGATTGGCTAGGGTTAATCCCAGAAGCACAATTCGGATTCATAGCTGAACATTCCATCGAACTACAAGTACTTAGATACAGAATACGGGAGCAGCCTTTCTGAATGTAAGCAAAGCCTTCTACAGAGTGTTGCATGTAGGACTGACATACAAAATGAGAGATTATGGATATAGCGAGACCATGACAAAACTCATCTCATCGTATCCAAGCGACCAGAGATTTAGGGTTAAGATATAACCAGTTCTATATGAACACAGATTCCCGGAAGCTGGAGTATCACAGGGGGCAGTTTTATCACCTCTCCTGTATAGCAGACGTTCCAAGAATACCCGAAACACTAATCAGACGACACTGCAATCGCGGCTAAACATAGGTACCTGGAGATGGCTGTAATAAATCTATAGACGGCACTAGATACGATAGAAGAAGAGTTTACAATAAAAAATGGCAATAAATCCAGAAAAGACGCAAGCAGATACCTTCATAAAGAGGAGATATAGCAATACAGATTGATGATAAGTCACTAGAGATAGGGGGAATGGAGCAGCATACGCTGGCTTGCATTGTTCGCGTTAGGATTTTGTGTGGTAGGCCTTATACCCAGGACTCCCACATGACAAGTGCTTTGCTAATAAGAGTAGTGTCAAAACCCTTACTCTCTCATGTCCCTAAGCTTCCTTCTTTAAGCTCTGCATGGCGTTGTCAAAATACTTCAAATTTCTTGATATTTTTCATAAGAGTGCGAAAGTAGTTCTCTAATTTTGTTGATTTACGTGTTAATATTTTCTTCGTTTTCATGACGTGATCATGACGTCATGGTGTAACAGCAGAATATGGTACTCTCTCATACGTTTAAATATCTCCACGCATGATTCTATTTACTTTAAATAATATAAAATAAAATCAGAAAAACAAAAATGATGACGAATCTCGTCCCCAATGATTCCCCACGTATAATTCCATTTACTCTAAATAATATAAAAGTAAATCAGGAAAACAAAAATGATGACGAATCTCGTCCCCAATGAGCTAATAGAAATCAAGAAATCGCCGATAAAAGTTATGGAAGAATATGTATATGTGGGCCACGAAATAACACAACCAAATATGTGATCTACTCAGAAGAGTAAGTTTAGGTTGGGATGCAATCAAAAAAATAAGACACTTATTTAAAACAAACGTCTCAATTCATTTAAAAAAGAATGCTTTCATTCAGCGCGGTATACCATTCCTCACATATGAAACAGAAACCTTGACTCTCGCAAAAACATCAGCGGAAAATTGAGAAGGACACAACGTAAAATGAATACATCAATTTTTGGAATAAGCTTAAGAAATGGACTAAGGAACGAGGAAGTTTGTAGACCAATTGGAGTGACAGACATTATCAAATGTATTACAAGGCGAAAATGGAGATGGGCGGAACATGTTGCTAAAATGAAAAAATGAAAGATGACAGGTGGACAAAAATTGCGTAAGTGGAGACCACGAACAAACAAGCAGAGTCGGGGAAGACTCCCAACGCGATGGACCGACGACCTTAAAAAACTTTCACCGATGGAATAGCAGAGGCGCAAAATAGAAACAGATAGAAATATCTGTAGGAGGCCTCTTTTTAAAATGAACATATTAAGGCAGATTTATGATGGTGATCATGATTTTATTTATCACAGAAATCTTTTTCTTCAATCTTACCCAGTTCTACTTGAGAGATATACAGACACTACATTCAAAACATCCTTGGAACTATAATTAACACATATAAGTCCAATATTTTTTTTAGCAACACTAACACGTTCGTTACGTTCGGGACCAATTTTTTGGAACCAATTTCTTGCATCCGAAGTGGGTTGGTGGATGTATTGCAGGTTGCTTCGAATATATTAGCTGGAAATCGTCCAACAATTAACCACATCGTCAAAGACGATGTGGTTAATTGTTTGTCCAGAAGTGCCCTATTTGACACATGCTGGATTGATGGTAGTGCACGATTAGTTAAGCGATTTGTTATAAACTACATGGACAACTCGTATTATATTTATATTGCACGATTGATGGCAAGGAAGAAAAAAGTTATTTGGTTTAATTGTTAGGTTCTCTACAAGATCCAAATTTCTATTCCTCATCCATTAGATTATCTAGTGCTTCTTATGTAGATGTAAAATCTGTCATGCTACTAGAAGTTCTTGTTGGCGGCTGTCTGGATTGTGCTCATAGTCGTCCTTGACCTAGTTCATCGACGTCTATATTTATTGGCATTGTTGAGTTTTGTTAATATTTTTTGACTTTAGTTTTTTAAATGGGGTTAGTTCTCTTATTTTAGTAGAGATATTTCTTATAACTGGCCGCCATAGCGCCATAAGATTTTATAGCCCCGTTATCTTCCTCGTTACTTGGTTTAACTGTGAATCTAGGACGTTTGGAGCACCATGATGTATTTGTCGTTTGTGAATGATGTTTTGTTGTTTGGATGTTAGGGTACGGTCTAGTGTTTGGCCAAAGTATTTTCGATTGATGCTGTGCTTTAGGACCATGTCGCTAGCATAGGTAAATTTGGGGAGAAGAGGTAACAAAACTGACCCTTTAGTAGGCTGTTTTGTAGGTTTCTGAATTTGATAGTTTCTCCATTAAGGTTTATTTGGAAAAATTTATCAGTGTGTACTTTCACTTTATAACAGCGACTGTAGTATACAAAACGTATCACCATGTCAATAAATAAAATCACGGGATACATTGTTTGCTCAGTTTTTAAAATGGTCTTTGAATATTCTAAATTTAATCTTAGTAAGAGAAAATTTTTAGCTGTACAAACTTTGTGACGTTTATATTGTTTATACATCGAAAATTATATATGTTATTAAAAAGTGTTCTATTTTTGAGCTCTACTTTTATTTTTATTTTTTTGCTTTATACTACATAGTGTGAACTTTATACTATTTTAAATTACTTTATACTTATATACTATACTATATATTTTTTAGTTTCGAATAGCAATAATCCACGATTCTAACGAAGGTCTCCATTATGGTGATTTAGCAGTATCAAGCGAAAGCGTTGTTATCAGTACAACAGCTGGAGGTGCTCCAGCATCGCCGCCGCAGAATGTACGCGCCACTCCAGTGGACTCGTCAAGTATAAGCATCAGCTGGGAACCCGGTCCTTTCCCGCACGGCCCTCTCCTCTCCTACGTTCTCAATATCACCGATAATCATCGATCGGAAGTTAAGGTGCGATTCAGGATTGTTTGACTACTTAAGGTTACGATTGTGATAAAAACTAAAGTACATTTCCTTATTAATTTGTTACATAACAGTCTTCTAACATAGTTTAAATAATCTAAACTACCCAATCTAGGTCAATATCCACATGCTTCTTGGTTGGTTCTACTACCTAAACTAACATCTACCAATAAGCATCTCAAATTACCTGCAACTGCTTGGGATTATTTTGAATATTCTACGTAATTTAGATGTCTATGTATATTCACGACATTTTATGTGTTTTAACATGTTTAATGTACAGAGTGTCTCAAAACTTAAATAGGCATAATTATACAGTTAACAAGAAATGTTAATAATTTTAGTGGTACGGTCTATGAGCAACAATTTTCAAATTATCGACTCCATGTTGCAAAAAATATAAGACTGAACTTAAGTAATACTCGAAAAAATCAATCAGCTTGTATGTCCTAAGAGTCAGGATAGATTTACAAAATGTGTGATCCGGCCCCTGCTTTCTCAGAGGCAGATAGCTGGGTACCAAAACGGTTGTTGCGTTCATGTATCGGCATCTCGAGGTTGCCCTCATGAAGGAGATTTGTCCCCCCTGCTATGGTGCCTGGTGGTTGACAGCCTTCTTCAGCGAGTGTCCGAACAAGGTATGTATGCGCAAGCCTACGCCAATGACGAAGGCCGAGGAGCTCTTCCAGGGAACGGTGCACGAGGTCGCCAAGGTGAGCCGCGGGCTCGTTGAGAAATGGTGCCGGGAGCAGGCACTCTGGGTTAATCCTGAGAAGGTTCTGTTCACTCAGAGAAGAGCCATCGGACCTACCAAAGAGCTTAACTTCTATGGTAACCTTAGTCGGTTTCTCAGTCAGTGAAGTATCTAAGAGTAATCCTGGATTCTCAACTTTCACGAAAGAAACATATCAACGCCAAGGTGAAGAAGGCCGCGGTAGCTTTCTGGGAGTGCAGATCTTTCGGAGTCCAATGCTGACGTATGCGGCCATTGTGTAGTGGCCTCGAGCTAGACTATCTTCAGCTAAGGCCCAGGTGACTCACCTCTACTGGCTGGCATCTCAGGAGCCATGGGGACTACTCCCATAGCGTCTTTTGAGGCTTTGCTGGATTTCCCTCCTCTACGTCTTATTGTGGAGAACGAAGCCATGATGACAGCATATCGTGTCAACTGCTCTAGATATTAGTTGGGAAATAATGGTCGGATGGGCCATTGTGACATCTGGAGACAGGTACTCGATTGTTGTCCTCTACTCTATATGGCATTTGAGTTCTCATCCTCTTTCTTGATTCAATTTCCTGACCGGAATGAGTGGATAGAACACAAAAATGCACTGATCGGTCGAAGTGGGCTCACCTGGTTTATGGATAGGTCCAGAATGAACGACCAGGTAGGTGGTGAAGTATATGGAAACAGAATCAGAGTTAAATCTGGTCGAGCTCTCGGCTCCTATGCGTCAGTCTCTCAGATATGGGGTACCGGGATACAAAGGCCTGGAAGGGAACGAACGGGCTGACACGCTAGCAAGACAGGGCTCATTCACTCTGCCGGTGGGACCCGAACCAATAATTAAAATGCCCTTGTTCCTCCTGACTCAGTTGTAAAGGTATGCGACAGGCTAGGCTCTATATAGTGGGGGCACCCAAAAGTCTCACAGCACAGCAACCAACAAAATCAGGGAGTTACCCTTAACTATACTTGTGGCTTTCTATGAGCAGGAAGGGCTAAGACTTGGTAGCTCAGATATGGGAGCCAGGAACAGTCTGAGCCCCAGAAACGCCAAAGACTATGTCCTTATTCCTATTTCGTATGATCGGGGTGATGCAATAGGCCCGTCTTAGGAGGTCTAAGGGTTTCTGAAGAACTTATAATTGAGCCCTACCTCGATCTACCATAACCATAACCAATGTCCTTAGAGTCAGGATAGTATTTAGTCAGGCTAGTCAGGTTCGAACTTCAGTATCTAGTATACTACTAATTAGTTGGTCTTCTTTAAAGCTTACGCCCTAATCTATTGCCTTATGACGTTTCCTACTTCTGTCCTCAGCTTGCATAGATTTCTGTTTATCTAACTGTATAAACGTAGTATGATGGAGTTACTAATAGAGTTTTTAGTTTAATTTTTTCAGTTCGACTATGGACTCTTTTTTGACCTGGATACTCATATGTATTCCGTTACAGGGAGTGTATGAAACAACTTTTCATTCTATTTATTCTTCAGTAAAGTCATTTGAAAGACCACATATTATTTTAAAGTAACCGTCTATGAGTGGGCTTCTTTCAGATCGTGAAGAACATGGAGCTTCATCAATACCTTTTATTGGGGCATGTTTATGGCCCTATTTTATTCTAGGATTTGGATACCAATTAGTCTGGCTAGTTTTAATCACTGTTGTATTGTTGGAGTATAGTAGAGTGTAGTTGGAGGTTTTTGAGATAGTATTAATACTTAAACTCTCATGTTGATGAGCTTCTTTTTTAAGTTGCGGATAAGCATTGCCGAGACACATCAGTACGTCAGTATTTTCTGGATTCTTCTTAGAGCTTTTTCTGCCTTGTCGGTTTCGGCAACGCAGTCTTTAAATAAATACGCTCACGATAAAACATGCTTTTACTTTGCATTTACCTCTACTTTTGATTTTCTTACAGCAGTCTGTCTGAGTCAAGCCTCATGAACACGTCAAAGTGAAACAGCATGATGGAGAAAGCATATATTTCTAATAAAGTAAAAAAACAATATTTTATACGTTTTGAGACAGTCTTCGACAATCCGTATACACCTATCTTTACTGTACTTAAATATGTAACTAGATATAAATTCATCTGGTGTTCGTGATAAGTTAAATAATTGATCATTCATTATTATACTTATGTAGTATTATATAGTTATCAGGTTAACCAACCTTAACTGTTCTCTATATTATGCTACTATAGTAAAACACCATAAACAAAAATTCGTCAATATAATAAAGCTCGTTCGTTAAACTGTTTGACTGTTATGTTTTGGAAATATCCATTTTTATTTTAACCAAATAGATCTTGTCTGCTTAAATGAAAAATCATTATCGTAACCTTAAGATATAATAATTCTGAAAGCAAACTCTACAATATGGATTGTGTGGCTAGGCTCTATACTCTTTTTAATTTTTTCATATTTTCTGTCTATTATATTCTTCTCTCACTAAGCTTTGTATGCATATATGCTTTGATCTCTTAAGATAAGCTTTTCGTATGTAAATGTAACCAGATAACCTGCGCTTGTTTATGAATTACAAAACAATATTCTTTGTGAAATAGAAGTACATTCATACATATGAATGAAGTTTAAAAATTAATTACAATTTACCTGAATTTTGAGATTTAATACTTAGAGTACATTTAAAACATAGAATAAAACAAACAGGAAGAAAAGGTGATTAAAGGTACGATCATTTGATTGGTTCTGTCAAATATGCTTCTGATTTGCATATTTCTTTGTTGCCATTTTTTTGTTCTACCGCTATGAAAAAAAATTTTAATTCAAAATACCTTTTTGTATTTTGAAGTTAAATTTAAATCACAAAAAACAATACTTAAATAAAATGTGACAGTGAGTGCAGAGTACTGATTGGTTAATTTAGATATTACAACTGTTATTTTTACTCTAAGACAGCTACTTGAAACAGGATGGCAATACACTAGAACTATCCCCAATTTCATCATAGGCTTCCGACAAGCATACTACAGTTGTGGCAGTTCTAATTTATTTTCGTTTTAAGTTGTATAAAGGAGTTGGATTCAGATAACCTCAGAAGAAAAAATCAAAGGGATTTAAACCTGGAAATCTAGATGACCATTCTATTGCATCTCTTCAACTAGGTAATCCATTTACACAGAATAAAAATGATTTTAGAAGTAATGAAAACGTCTTTTAAATTATAAATCGTATGACCCCTTGCCCTATTTTAAAATTGGTATGGAGTTACAACCACCCGCATAGAGTTAAAGTTGCAAGAATTATTTTAAGATAAAATGCGTTTGTTCTCGATAAAAAAATCGACGTTTGTTGTAATTATCCAACCAATTTTTGCCGAATTTGATATAATTTTCATTTAGACACGGTGTATAAAACTTACTTTATAAGGGTACTTTATAAAGGATTTAAGAATGAAATACCTAAAACTTTCTTAAGTAACTCGGAAGTAAGCTCAGATTTTTATGGACATACGAATGACAGAAAATAAATAAAATTCTAAGAAAATGATGACAATGTTTCTTACAAAATAGTGCTTAGCAATGATTAAAGCTTCCCCTTATTCATTAACTTAAGTACATTGGTATATCTAGTTGACTATGGACTAATTACTGGAGACAAATTTCCTACTGGAATGGAGTCTATAGTACCAAGGAAAACATTATCTTTTAAGGTATGTCCACAAATATAGTGCCTTATAAATAATTTTGGTAAGCGGTAAACCAAGCAATAAACACAGCAGAGATTTAAGAGATTATTTAATTAGGATTTAAGGCGGTCCTGACAACTTCCAAATTTTCGACAATACAAGATTTATAAGAGGGGAGTATCTTTATTATTACTTTAACATCATTTTTACCAGAAACATGGAACATCACTTCTTTCAACAACAAAGACCAAGAGATAATAGAAGAACTGATCAATAAAAACATAGACATTTGTACAATCGAAGAAACCTAGAAGAAAGTTAAAGGAAAAAGAGAATATAATCAATATTTTCTACCATACAGTAGAGTGAAGAAAGAAAAACTAGCACGAACAGGTGTAGGTATACTTGTGCATAAAAAATTTAAAGACTACTTCTGCTAATAACTGCTGCTAATGATGCTGGTATAAGATTTATTTATCGGCATCATTTAATTAACTTTGTACCGACTGACCTGAAGATGCTTTGCAACTGATTGTGAGTAAGTCTTATTTATTTCTTTTTTACCTATTTGAAATGGACTCACACAGGCAACACATTTATGATTGCAAAACAAATATTTTAGATAAAATTGTTGTTTTATTCTTAATTTTATTTTTATGTTTTATATTCTTTATATGAGTATTACAATCTTGTCCCGCTACAAAAGTAGGCCTAATCGCACAAATTAATTAACTTTATTTTGATTAATTTTTTTAAGCACTAAAGCTTGCAAATATGCACCTTTCTACTATAAAGTAATATATGTTTAGAGAAAAATATACAATATATACTATATAGTTATATTAAGTAACTCTACAACAAAAACGTTCAATCATATTTTGCCAAAGTGTCCGCTACAAACTTAAGAACAAATAGTATATTTTTATGTGTTTTTCTCTTTATATAAAATATATATATATATATTTATATATATATATATATATATATATATTATATATATATATCAACCTCAACTCTATATGTTTTAACCTTCAACTATGTATACTTACAGCATCTTCCTGCATGCACTTTTTTCTTTGCTTATGTACATATGCTTTTCTTTATCTTTTTATGTCTTCGAAAAAACCATAAACGGGGTAATAATTGATTGTTGTGTTTCAAAAATTCATCCACTCTGTGTCTTTACATCTGTGAATGTCCAATGATTTTATAGTATATAAACTTAATTCTTCGGTGAAAATAGGCTGACAGTGAAAAAGTGCGAAATAAAATAGAAAAATGTATGTATAGTACATAGACCAAAATAAATACTTTGTACGTATAATGTATTTTATCGAATCTTTTAATGAGATGGAAATATGTATGTAGATAACACAATTATATTTTCGGATGACTAAGATCTGGATGACCAGATGACATACCACCAATATTTATAAAAAAACTTGCAATTTACAGATAAACTAGTTTTACTAGATTTATTTAATATTTGTTTTCTAAAACAAAATTTCCTGATCGTTGGTCCCAGGCAGTAATAATTCTCATCATCAAGTCAAATATACCTAAAGATAAGCCCACTTCTTACCTCTCCATCTCGCCGTACCTGTAGTATGTGTAAAATCTTGGAAAAAATTTTAAACCTTCGTCTAGTATGGCACCTGGAAAATATTAATCTTCTTTCCACTTATCAAAGTAGCTTATCGAAGATGTAGGTTGACGTCAATTAACCATGTTACTTTACAACCCTCAATTAATGAAGCTTTTGTAAACAACCAAAAACTGATTGCATTTTTTTTGACACAAGCCAAGCTTTTGAGAGAACTTGGAGACATGAATATTTGAACAATCTAAGCGATAATGGGATTAAATGCTAAATTAAATTAAATGCTTAAATGTTTTTTCAAAACGAGTAACACGATGAAGTGCGTCATCATTACAGATTCACTTAATGCGTTACTAAAATTAAAGCAAATTTATACAACAAATCCCATTATACAAGCAATAAAAAATAAATTAGAAACACGTCATTCCACGGTATTTCTTTCTTTTGGATACCACAGCTTTCTTTTGGATACCATGGCACACTGAAAATCAACTAGCAACTACAAGCTGTATCAACTTAGAAGATACTACAAAAATTACAAAATATCCTTATACTGACATGAAAAATCTGATTAAAGATTATTGCAATAACATTTGGCAAAACTACTGGGAAAATTCAGTAACCAAATTAAACCCAATATGCCCAAAAGTGAACAGCTCTTTGAATAACCCCACAAGTAGACGAGATCAAGTAATAATTATAAACCATTTAAGAATTGGTCATACAGCTGTCACACAGAAGTTTTTAATCAGTAAAGATCCACGGCCAATTTTCAATAACTGCTCCACTTCATTGACAGTGAAACACTTCCTGCTTGATTACCCATGTTTCCAAAATCAAAGAAGAATGCATGGAATTTCAGATGACCTCAAATCCATCTTGACAGATAAAAATTTAAATGTATTAAATTATTTAAGAGATATAAAATTGTATTAAACTATTTAATGTACATAATCGTATTAAAACTATTGTTTTTGTCATCGCACTAATAACCCTGCGTGGTTGATGTGGTATAAGTGTTTTAAATAAAAAAATAGCAATGACGTCATCACGCTTACGTAGATGACAGCAAAAATAAAAAGGTATCCTTACGAATAGCCTGTTTAAAAGTAAAAAATGGACAGGTTTTAGTATTTTTCCATAACATCACCGGCTTACGAAACATCAAATTTCAAATAAAGAAATAAATATTAAATGTATTCCTTTCATTTGCGCCATACATGTACTACAGTCTATTCATTCTTTGTTATCCCATTTGAGCTTTAGCAGGTCCATCTTCTCTTTTCTGGTTTTATAAAGACCATATGGGTTATGTGTAGGTTGTTTTCTTTTGCATAATTCACTACTATTTCTCTCCTATTATTTCTTTTCTCTCATCCATAATCCCTATTTTTGCGTTGAAACTACCCATTAAAATTATATACCTTGCTTTGTTTTACCATTTATCATTACTTTAATAATTTTTTCGTAGAATTGCTCTACTTCCTAGGCCCGAATAATTTTACATGTATAATTATTTTGGATCTGTATTGAATTACTCTTTTCAATATAGCCTTATACTGTGTGATCCTGGATGTCACTTTTTTAATATGCCATCATTTAATTTTCATCTCCTTTGTAGAATAGTTGGTGGCCACTTTTAGTTCCTTACATTGCTCTCCTTTTCTGTACTTCTGTTAGTCCTATTACTGTCTACTTTATTTTCTTTATTTCTTCTTCTAATTCTATCAGCTTTTCTTCCGAACTTAGTGTGCGTATATTGAATGTAGCTATGATCCACTCACTCTTTGCGTGATGATTTTGCGGATGTTTTATGTGTCTGTTTCTGTTGTTTATTATCGAATTTCTGTCCATCGCAATCTTTAGTAGGTATCATTAAAATGGTAAATTATATTTCTAATGAACTGTTTGTCGTAGTCGCTGTCTGTCACAGTACCTTTCCGTTTAACACGTGTTGTAGCTGGAAATTCTTCTCAATACTGGTACTGAGAGTACAGATACTCCAGTGGCTTCACTCATAAGTTTTTTAATAGTGGTTCAATTATATTCAAGAAGCAGGATTTGTACAATTTAAACACTTTGTAAACTATCCTTTTGAATTCCGGTATCACTCTTATATGTTTACTTGTAATATACTTAACTGTCTTTATTCTATAAAATACTTTCTAATGTGATCCAGTCTTATACAAAATACCTTCGTTTATTAGAATGGAATACATACTGAGACATTACAGACATGGTTCTAATGCATTGGTTAGAAATTCTCAAAAATAATTCTTATCAGTTGTTTGTATGATCCTAATAACTATATAATTACGGTTTTAAAGATAAATGATCTTTTTGAAATCAAATTTTATTTAGTGTTTAAGTGAGTAATACAATATTTTGCGGATTAAAAAATAAAATATTCTTCTCAAATTGTTTATTATTGCAACCTCAGTGCATAGCTGTTTCTATTATCTATGCGAAAAAATATTTTTTGGACTGCTCACCACTACTGTATTCGAAACTAGCTTTTTGTATAATGCGATATACGAGATATTTTAACATTTATATTTTGACCCTTATTTCATGTTTCGCAATTTGTGGAAAATCATTTTAGTTTAGTAATTACTTGTAGGTACCTACCTTATAGTCGTAAACATTTTTAAACTTTAGAATGATGGCTAATTAATTAAACACATAAATAACAAAAAAAAACTATTGAAAAAGCCAACAAACTTCACAAATAACGATGAATATCTACAAGTAATAGAATTTGTGATATCAACAATACGTTTTACTCTAAATATAATAATTTATCAATAACTCTTAAATAAGATAATTACATATATTTAGAATAGAATCTTCATTTATTTACAACATAGGTAAATCATCTGTGATTACTGCATGATCAAGCATGAAACAAAATACCCCATTTATGTTTAAGCGATTTGTTGTAATATACAATCAATATAACTTTCAGCAATTACTGTGCCCCTTTTATGGTTTCCCTTTAAGCATTTAAAAAAACGTTTATTTAATTTACTTGTTTACACACAGGATATTCCTCCTGACAAGTCTGATATCGTAGTAGGAGATTTAAAAGCACTCAATAATTATTCTGTTGAATTGAGAATGAGAAACAAAAATGGCTCTGGACCACCTGCGACTACTACAGTATCGACTCCTGCAGAACGACAAAGTTAGTAACACAACCATGTTTATTTCATTATTTATTTAATTTAATTACTTAATTATTTTATAACTTTGTTTAATTTTTTCGCCCTCCGGGCAATTGTTTTCCCTCTGCGCTTAACAATTACAAGTAAACAATGAATTCAATGTATTTAAACGTGATTACGTCACAACGGATTACCTCAGAAATCAGATAGGTTACAACATAATCAATTAAAGATACCAAAATAGTAGTACAAAAAACTATCCCACTATCCCAGTGCAGATTTGTCCTTCAAGCATACCCTGCTGCTAAATGCAAAAATATATTAAATTACGAAGAGATAAATGGTTTACAGAACAAACATGCTGACAGGTTTTTCCTTAAACAAATACAGACCGAATAAATAGTAGACAGTATTATATACGCATGGGTAGTGGGAACTCAAGAACTGGAGCAACATGCAAACCGCCATGAAAGTCATGAACTATTTAAAAAAGTTAAATATTTAGCCCGAGAGTTCAAGCCACAACTTCAAGCCATTCAAGACTCTAATGGAGAAGTAAAAACCGACATAGAGAGCATCGCAGAGACCTGGAAAAATTACTGCTCAGAATTATACAAAGACACTTCAAAAGATGACGCATCAGTCTCAGAACACAAAAAACATGCAATCAGAGAGGCTGAACCAATCATTTTACGAGCAGAAGTAGAGAAGGCTCTTAACCAACTAAGAAACAAAAAAACTCCAGGAATCGATGGCATAACAGCGGAGACTCTAAAAGCAATAGGCGAAATTGGCGTAGATGTAATGCTGGATATGTGCAACATGATATGGATCACAGGTGAATGGCCTGATGAGTGGTGTGAATCAACCTTGATCCCTATCCATAAAAAATGATCACTAACCATATGCAGCAATTACAGAACCGTTGCCCTTATCCCTCATGCAAGCAAAATCCTGCTACATATAATCAATGAACGGCTAAAGAACTTTCTACTTCCAGAGATAGCCGAAGAACAATGTGGATTTGTACCAGGAAAGGGAACGCGTGAGCAAATACTCAACACCAGACAGATAGTAGAAAAAGCGAGAGAACATAACATACCAATGTTGCTCTGTTTTGTAGATTACACAAAGGCTTTTGATTCAGTAAAATGGGATCCTCTCTGGAGTATAATGGAAAATATGGGAGTACCTAACCACCTAGTTAACCTAATAAGAAATCTGTATAATAAAAACTCAGCCAAAGTTAAAGTACATGGAATATATTCAAATGCATTCAAAACAGAGAAAGGAACTAGACAAGGTTGCATACTATCACCATTATTGTACAACATATATTCTGAATATATAATGAGAAAAGTACTAGATGAATGGGATGGAGGAATCACTATAGGAGGCAGAAAAATCAGTAACCTGCGATACGCAGATGACACACTTATACTAGCAGCGAATGAAGTCGAAATGATTACCATCATCGAACGGCTAAGCCGAATAAGTGAAGAATTCGGACTTCAAATCAACACCAGAAAAACAAAAATAATGATTGTAGACAGAGCAAATAATAATCTACCGCATATACGCCAAATAGGGATTTTCGAAGTAGTCGACAGATTTGTATACTTGGGCTCTCTGATAACCAACAATGGTGATTGTTCCTCAGAAATCAAACGTAGACTAGGAATGGCCCGAACCGCAACTGCTAAATTAATTAAAATATGGAAAGACCGAACAATAACAAGGAATACTAAGCTTAGGTTGGTCAATGCCCTTATTTTTCCCATTGCTACATATGCAGCTGAAACATGGACTCTCAAAAAAATCGATAGGAGTAAGATCGAAGCCTTCGAAATGTGGGTATATAGAAGAATTCTACGCGTGTCCTGGACAGAACATAGAACCAACCTGTCAATTCTGGAAGAGCTTCATATAAAAGACAGGCTACTAAAAAAAGTAAACCAAGCATACCTAACTTACTTCGGCCACATAGCTAGAAGAACGGGCACCATGGAACTATTGGTAGTAGAAGGTAAGGTAGAAGGCCGAAGACCAAGAGGAAGATCTCCAATACGATGGGTGGACCAAATGAAGAGTTTGGTGGGAAAATCCCTACATGAAGCCGTCCATATGGCACAAGATCGCAGTCAATGGAGACAGCAGACTAATAATATTTAGGGTGTCACTACGCCCTGACAAGGGCTAAAGGATTGAGGAGGAGGAGTGGAACTCTAGCAACATTGGATATACAACGCATAAACGACAGTATTGATCGTTTACTATACTCAGGAAAAAATTGGCAAATACCAATGTGGATTCCGAGAAGAACGGTCAACAATTGATTAGATTTTCCTTCTCAGATAAACCTTAGAAAAGACATATGAATATGGAATTGATATCCACCACCTTTTCATAGATTTTAAAAGCACTTATGACAGTGTAGACAGAAGCTCACTTTATAATTCCATGGCAGAACTAGATATTTTATTGCATCTAATAACATTGGTAAGGGCAACTCTTTCGAAAGTTGAGTCCAAAGTCAAGGTACAAAACAGAGTGTCAAGATCTTTTCAAACACAAACTGAATTACGCCAGGGAGATAGTCTATCGTGCCCATTGTTTAACATCGCGCTAGAAAGAGTCATAGAGAAATCGGGCATAACAACCAGAGGTACGATCATCACTAGAAGTGTACAGATATTGGCCAACGCAGGAACATTGACATAGTAACACGGACAAAAAGAGACCTGATACAGGCTTTTGAAACATTCGAAAAAGCCGTGAAGACAATGGGACTGCAGGTCAACGTATCCAAAACAAAATACATGAAGGTCACGAATAGCGCACAAATAGCGGCACCACAAGATCTGGTGACAGAAGCACACACATTGGAAGAGGTCTTGGAGTTTATATATCTTAACATAACTAAATAACAGCAACCTAGTAAGCGTAGAAATTAAGAGAAGAATATACCTGGCGAACAGAGCTTACTTTGGACTAAAGCAATATTTAATATCACACATAATTAGCAGAAAAACCAAGATAGTAATATATGAAACTCTTATTAAACCTGTTCTGACATACGTGTCAGAAACGGACTATGGTAAAAAGCGACGAAGCTGGGGTTGTAAAGCCAAAGATGATGATAAAACGACGGTATAGACGATAACAATGAATGAACGATATATTCAACATTTGTTTGCAGAATACATAGTACAAAATACTACCTATCACATTGAAAATAATTTACCCGTTCTAACAACAGAAATAAAATACGCATTAAAAAATGAGAACTACTAAAGCACTTTTACCCAATAATATCCATAACGAAATTATAACACTTATGGAAAAAAACAAGTTACTCATTGATCTTCTAGCAAATACATATTGTCTCCAACAATAGACAAAATTTCAGAAGACTGGGCTGACTTTTACGTTTTCCCCTCTTCGTAAATACAACATAGCCAAGAAATGAAACGACTGCGGATAAATATCGTTCACGTCTGAGATATTTAATGTTTCTAAAAATTATTCACAACTGAACTTATATAAGATATCGAAAGATATAATCCAGTAACAGTTTGGTTGCAGCAACATTGTGCGAACCCGATAGGCTCTGCAATTCTGCACCCTTCAAATGCAATTCGGATTCCGCAATTCCATGGGTACACGTGAAGCACTTTTCACCTTACAAATCCTACTTCAGAGATGCCGCGATGTCAGTTGTGATGTCTAGATTTGTTTTATTGATTACGCCAAGGCATTTGACCGTTGTCAGCACCAGAAGATGGTCACCGCCCTACAAAGAGTAGGATTGGATGAGAAGGCATTCGGATCATTATGAATTTATACTGGAACCAGCGTGCTCAAGTCAAGGTCGAAGACCAGCTGACCGACCAATTGAAGATCATGCGAGGAGTAAGTCAAGGATGTGTGTTATTGCCGACTCTTTTCAATATGTACTCTGAGGAGATTTTTACTGAAGCCCTCACAAACCTAGAGATAAGAATCCGAGTGAACGGTGAATACATCAATAATATCCGCTATGCCGATGACACTGTGTTACTAGCAACCAGCCTAAACGATCTGCAGGCTTTACTAGACCGAGTGCGAACTGTGAGCGTAACATACGGACTATACCTTAATATTAAGAAAACTGAATTCATGGTTGTAAGCCGTACAAATTTAGATCTTGGGCCACTATTGGCAGGTAGCGAAGAAATTCAGAGAGTCGACAGATTCACTTACCTCGGAACTACCCTCAACTCACAATGGGACTACGCTCAAGAGATTAGATCCAGAATTGAAATGGCACGGTCTACATTTATGAAGTTGAGATCCTTGCTGTGCTGCAGTGATCTCAGTTTACGAACCAAGATGCGGATAGTAAGGTGCTACGTTCTTCCAGTGTTACTATATGGAGTTGAAGCCTGGAAACTGACTCAAGCCACTGAAAAAACGAATCAAAGCCTTCGAGATGTTGATATACAGAAGGATACTAAAAATATCTTATGTGGACCATGTCACCAACGTTGAGGTCCTACAGCGGATGACAAAATAAAAAGAAGTGCTTAATTTAATTAAACAACGTAAGCTTCAGTACCTCGGCCACGTGATGCGGAACGAAGAAAAATATCGAATTCTTCAACTCGTTATGCAGGGTAAAGTATTTAGCAGAAGAGGACCGGGACGCCGTCGTATCTCGTGGTTGAAAAATCTCCGACAATGGTTTGGGATGACCTCAGCGGAACTGTTTCGCAGAGCAGTCAACAAAACCATGATAGCCTTGATGATCGCCAACATCCGGACCGGATAAGGCACTGAAGAAGAACAAGAGAGGCTCTGTTCAACTTAAAGTTGCTGACTTTTTATTAATGATCATTAATAAATGATCTCAAAGATCTTAAAACGATTCAAAAAAGAAAAGTAAAAAACATAAGGTACAGGACCGTAAATTGGAAAGTATTAAGAGGGTAATATTATACTTCAAAAATTAGAGCTTTAAATAGACTGAAGTTTCATCTAATGTGGAGTTTGACGTAGACGTTTGTAGATCACATTAGGGAAAAATGCCAAGTCATTGATTAAATACGTCTGTACTGCTTCAAATAAAGACATAAACTTGGAGATGAAATTTAAAATAACGTATCAAGGCGAAAGAAAACATTTTGTATAAGTACATATTACTTAATAAAACATAACATACGTTTCAAGACGACGTAATGTATCTTTTTCTCGATGACAATATGCAGCATTTACACAACGCTTAGCTAAAAATAGGCCGGTGAAATGAAGTAATTTCTTCTCCTCCTCTTCATTTCTTAAGCCCTTCTTAGGGTGTGGTAACACTCTAAATATTGTCAGCTGTATGTCTTCATTGACTATGCCAGATGGGACTTCATGTAGGGATTTTTCTACCAGACTCTTGATTTGATCTCCCCATCGTGTTCAACATCTTCCTCTTAGTCTTAGGCCTCCACCTTTCCTTCTATTTGTATTACTAATAGTTCCATGGTCCCCGCTATTCTGCCTTTGTAGGTATTCGAAGTTATTTATTTATGCTTGGTTTATTATTTTTTTAATAGTCTGCCTTTTATATGAAGCTCTTACAGAATTGACAGATCGGTTCTGTGTTCTGTCCAGGACATGCTCAGAATTCTTCTATAAACCCACATTTCAAAGGCTTCGACCTTACTCGATCGATTTTTTGAGAGTCCATGTTTAGCTGCGTATACATCAATGGTAAAAATGGGGGCATTGACCAACCTAAGCTTAATATTTCTTATTATTTTGCAATCTTGCCATATTTTAATTAATTTAGCTGCTGCGGTTCAGGCCATTGCTAGTCTACGCTTGATTTCCGAGGAGCTATCGCTATTGTCGGTTATCGGGAGCCAAGTATACAAATCTGCTACTACATTTGTACGTGTAAATCCTACTTCTTTTTCTTTTTTTACAGCACTATAGCCCAAATTGAGCCTTGGCCTCCTTTATTTTTTGCCTCCACCCTTGCTTCTCTGTGGCTGATCTTCTCCATACACGAACTTGTAAAAGGGCTTGTGCATCGTAGTTTGCATGTCTACCCAGCGCTGTCTTGGCTTTCCAACCGGTCTCTTTCTCTGCATTCTAGCATTCAGTGCTCTTTTTAGTAGCCTATTCTCTCCCATTCTTATCACATATTCGGCTCATTGCAATATTTGTACTCTAATAAAGTTTGACAGTGGTGCTTTCTTATAAAGTTGATAAAGCTCGTTGTTGTATCGACTTCTGAAGATTCCGTTTTCTCTCACAGGCCCTAGTATTCTCCTCAGTTCTTTCTTTTTAAATGTGTCGGGTTTGCTATTCGATGTTTCTTTCAGGACACATACTTCACTGCCATAGCATGCTATTGGTCGAATTAAGGTTTTATAGATTCTTACCTTTGTATTTCGGTGGACATTTTTAAACCGAAATATATGGGAGAAGACAAAATAAGCTCTGTTTTCCAGTGTTACTTTCTTTCGTATTTCTCCATTTTCTAATCCGTCGTCATATAATTTTACTCCCAGGTATGTAAACTTTTCAACTGTTTCAATGTCATCTTCATGTATAATGTTTTGTGGGACTATATTTCTTCCCGTCTGTATCATTATTTTGTTTTTTCTGTGTTAATTTCCAGAACTAGCCTTTTGTTTGCGTTTTTTAAAATATCCGGTAGATTATTATTTACCCTATCTACGATCATAATTTTTGTTTTTCTAGTGTTGATCTGAACTCAGAATTCTTTGCTCATCCGGCTTAGCCGTTCGGTGATGGTGATCATTTTGAGTTCATTCGCTGCTAGCATAAGTGTGTCATCTGTGTATCGCAGGTTACTGATTTTTCTGCCTCCTATAGTGATTCCTACATCCCATTCATCTAGTACTTTTCTCATTCATATTCAGAATATCTGTTTTATAATAATGATGATAGTATGCAGCCCTTTCTAGTTCCTTTTTTATTTTGAACGCATTTGAATATATTCCGTGTACTTTAACTTTGGCTGAGTTTTTATCATACAGATTTCTCATTAGGTTAAGTAGCTGTTAAGTACTCCTATATTATACTCCAGAAGTAATCTCATTTACTAAATCGAAAGCCTTTGTGTAATCTATTAAACAGATTTTGTGTTTCCTCGCTGTTTCTATCTGTTTGGAGTTCAATATCTGCTCGCGCCTTCCTTTTCCCGGTACAGTACGAATCCACATTGTTCTTCGCCTATCTCTTTAAGTAGAAAATTCTTTAGCCGTTCATTGATTATATGTAGCAGGATTTTGCTTGCATGGGTCATAAGGGCAAAGGTTCTGTAATTACTGCATACTTTTAGTGATCATTTTTTATAAATAGGGATAAAGGTTGATATTTGCACGACTCATCAGGCTATTCACCTATGATCCATATAATATTGCATATATCCAGTATTACATCTACGCCAAGCTCGACCATTGACCTTAGAGCCTTCACTGGTACACCATTGATCCCTGGGGCTTCTTGTTTCTTAGTAGAGAGCCTTCTCTAGTGTTTTTGCTTGACATCCAATGTTTGTCCTTTTAGATTTTTGTAATCTAAATGAAAATGAAATGTATTCAGCTTTTTATTCCATTTGATCTATTATATATGTTTTATCTGTGGTTTTTTCTTGTTTATCAATTGTATCTAAATTATTTACCCTATTATTTACCCTTAGCTGTTTTATCTGATGTATTTTTTTAGTGTTTAATTCTGTGTATAGATCTGATTTATAGTTGTGTGTGTAGGATGCTCCAGTCATAGTTTTATGTTTATTACTAAGGTTTTCCATATTTTCCGCATATGTAGTCAATTTAACTTTACACCTATTTTTGTCGCAGTTTTGCGCTAACTACCGACGGTCACTTTCAACGCTGTCACAATTTTTACCGCAACAACAGAATTTATACTCACCACAATACAATAACAATGACAAAACTACACAAACTAGTTGCAGTCGATAGGTAAAACCACCGAATCCAAAACTATGCTGATAATAATTTTTAAGAATTTGGGTGAGGGGCCCTTTTTTGTCAGAGACTTGTCGAAAAAACATTTTTTTAATTAGTAAACTGTGTTACAACTAAAAAAATACAAAAAAATAAAACATTAAAAATCTTTAAGATTTAATTATAGGGTAACCCTAATTTTATGCTCGGTAGTGTATCTACTGCTCGCTGTAGTGTTGTAATATTTATTTAATTTTTTTATTTTACTTAAGTACTTATTCTATTTTTGTAAATCAACACTTCACAATCAATTAATAATTTTTATTAAAATTCTGAAACAACTGTAAATTATCACAAGATACTTTCCTGTAAGTTATATGTATTAACTTAATTTTAATTTAAATCTTATTTTACAGTTACAAATGTTACAAAACCTCCATTAATACTGGGTACAAACTCTACGATTCTTGAATTAAACAACCTATCGCTAGACGAAGAACCTAAAGTGCTGTATAAAAGTACAATTGAGCTGAAAGGTAAGAATTTTAGTTCTACTAATATTAACATTAAATATGATAAAATGTAATAATTATAATAGCTCTCTTGTATATTGTTAATTAAATTAATAGTAATTTTATTCGTAGAATGTGTATAGTGAAAAAGTAAAACAGAGATTTTTTGTTGCATATCTCTAGCTTACTAGAATAATTACCATTTAAATGGGAATAAGCCACAATTAAATATTAAAAGTAAGTTTCAATTTCCACTTCGGAAATCGTTCTCAAAATACAAATATTAGTAAATTAAACAAATTTTGTTTTTTTGTTACTTAGTGAAAAATTCTTTTAAGAATTTAATTTTATCTAACTTATTTATATTGACAATTCAGACATACATTATACATTTTAAAGTAGACGACTTTAAAATGATATTGCCAATATTGTTGACTTGCGTTCCTGGGACGACTTTACTTGTAAGATAGTTCATTCAATTATATGAAATCCACTTTAACTTGAGAATATCCGTCAGAAAAAATCATAGCATGTAATTCGTCTTTAAAAAGACAAACGCATGCCATGATTACAGTAAAATTCTCCTGGTAGTGATTCCATAGTAAATTATGAGAGAAAAACCAGGAAAAACCTCATAATAATATCCCGACATGGTAAGTATTTGGTCGTGCATTTGGTTTACTTTCAATAAACACCAAATTCTGAGTATATATGTTTGTTATTTGAAAAACATAAATGATGTATCCTCTATATGTTACTGACTTACTAATACTGGTATATTCCTTGTAATAACTTCCTCTTTTAATATGGGTAACCAGATCCTACTACATTCTGTTGGTCTCATTTAGCTTAATTAGAACCGCTTCTGTGATTTTTCTTTTTATCATCCGTATCTTTTAGGACTATACTTGAATCATTTCATTGAACCCTATGCTCATTATCCCATGCATGTTTACTTTACATATTTGAGATCTATCAAATTCTCTATTTTTAATACAAGATTGATGTTCACTTATTCTAACATTTAATGGTCTTAATGTTTCACCTAAATAAAACTCATCGCATTCACAAGGTATTTTAGGAATGCAATTATTTGTCATTTCTGGTTCATTGTTAGGTTTGGTTTTAGACAATATAGATCTCAATGTGTTTGTTGTTTTGAATGTTGTTGAAATGTTAAATTTATTTTATATCCTTATAAGTTTTTCTGATAATCCTTTTATGTATGGTATTGTTATTTTTCTCGTATTATTCCTTGTGTGTGCTGTAGGATCTCGTTCTAAGTTGTTCGGTTCTGTTCGGTCGATTGTTAAAAATGATCTTAAATATGTAAACACGCATGGGATAATGAACATAAAATTCAATGGAATGATTTAAATGTATGCCTAAAAGAAACGGATGGTAAAAAGGGAAAATCAAAGAAGCGGCTCTAATTATGCTAAATGAGACCAATTGTGTCGCAAATTCCTCGACAATGTGGTAGGATCTGGTTACCCATATTAAAAGAAGAAGTTATTAAAAGGAAAATACCAGTATTAGTAGGACAGTTACATATAGACTATACATCATTTATGTTTTTTAAATAAGAAACATATAAAATCAGAATTCGGTGTTTATTGAAAGTAAACTAAATGCACGACCAAATACTTTGTTGCAGTTTCGCAACTGTATATAAACATTTGTAAATGTAATTAATAGACTTTTGAATAGTTTCTATTCTCCTCGTATATTTAAACCAGATTTTAAGGGCAAAAGGCATAAGGGTGTGTACGTAAAATAAGGGTTTGCGTTCCATACAAAACCAGAGTCGAAAAGTATCTCTCAAAAGATGAACATGTGTATGTGAACAATGTGAAGACGAAGAGTACCTGATTCGGCCAAGAAAGACGCTAATGTGCATCACAAACTTTGGTAGTTGAAGTGTCGCTGAAGACATAATTTGCGATAGCGTTGGGGCTATCTTTTTCATGGGGTAAGAAACAATACACCATATTAATTTGTTGCTGCATATATCAAGTACGTGCACTTGGTATATTTATTTGATATTTGGAACTTCATCGCATTTGTGCCGCGATCGCGATTGAACATTGTCAATTGGACATTTTGCATTTGTTTCGGTTTATTTACTGTATTGTATATATTTTTTTGTATTTTGTTAACACCGATTTTATTTCTTGTATGTTTTGTTTTAATAATTGTACTTATTAATTATTTGTATGCACCGCATTCTTAATTTGTTTTTACAACGTTAAAATATTATATCCTTATTTAGGTTGATTTTTTTGTAAGAATATTAATTTGGCTTTTATCTTTTTATGTATAGTATGTTTGCGGCTATGGTAGGTTTTGTCTTTTGTTTTGTCAGTGGTTTTTTATAGAATCGACATTTTTGTTTGGTTGTTTATGGTTGTCTTTCGGTGTGTCTGTTGGTGTGTTTCATAGTAGCTAATAGTTAAGTTTGTAATATATTCTTCTTCTTTAATGTAATATATTCTTCTTTAATTATAATTGTATGTGGTTATGTATATTTATGTTTTAATTTCATTGCTTTTTAAATAGAGTTTTATACAGTCCGCTGACTTTGATTTCTTTCTTTAGTTGAATATACATACCCAATTCGAAAGGGATGGAAACAGCGAGTTCTAGATTGAACAGAATATCTTCTCTCCCTTCAGGATGATCTCAATTGTTATATTGAGGTCATCGTATGTGCAGAACGCAACATACTTACCATGTCGGGATAGTATTATGAGGGTTTTTCCTCATAATTTACTATGGAATCACTAACAGGAGAATTTTACTGTCATCATGGCAGTGTGTTTGTCTTTTTAAAGAGGAATTACATGTTATGATTTTTTCTGAGGGATATTTTCAAGTACAAGTTGATTTCATGTAATCGAATGAACTATCTTACACAAAGTCGTCCTAGGAACGCAACTCAACAATATTGGAAATATCATTTTAAAGTCGTCTACTTTAAAATGGATAATGTATGTCTCAATTGTCAATATAAATGAGTCAGATAAAATTAAATTATTAGAAGAATTTTTCATCAAGTAACAAAAAAAACAAAATTTGTTTAATTTACTAATGTTTGTATTTTGAGAACGATTTCCGAAGTGAAAATTGAAACGTCAATAACTTACTTTAACCTTTAATTATGGCTTATTTCCATTTAAATAGTAATTACTTTAAAATTCCACAAGAAAATAGATTCAGAACAATATTATTAGAATAAAGCGGAATTATCGACAGATCATTCATAATACAGTATATTCTGAAAAGTAGTCTGAAAAGTTCTTGGTCTAATAATTTTATATTTCGTAAAAATCCCCTCGATGTGAAAAGCGATTTCCAATGCAGTTTTTGTATCTATCGTATTTATTTGGAAGTGCTTCAAAATACTTATCTGCAGCCGAATTGATTGGAAGAAAAGCACTGACCAACTAAAGAAGACAAATATGTTTCAAAAATCTTAAGAAGTACTCGACTTATAGAGCGCCTAAGACTCTAGTACTTGTGAAAAAGATTGTATTACTTATTTTTTGTTTTGTTTTGTTTGTTTATTTTTAATATATAATAATGTGTAAATATTAATACATTTGTTTTTCAGGTATTGGGTTCCATTACAATAAAAAATTACTCTTTATTACGGACAGTGATGGTTATGTTTCAAAAATACCTCTCTACCAAGAGTCAAAACCAAATTACTCAAATCCTTATAAAAAGTTCATATATTCTCCCAAGAAAATTGATATTCTAGAACCGCAAAATTTGGACTTTAAACCATTAGATATCACTGTTGACTGGTTAAATGACCAGTTGTACATTTTGGGAGAAATTAAGTTCAATACTGCTTATATTATCAAGAGATGTAACTTGGATGGAAGTAACTTGATGGTTGTTTATGCAGGACTTAGCCAAAAACCTTCGTCGATACAGATAGATCCACTAAATGGGTAAATACGAGTACATCTACAATATTTATTTTTATAACTATATGTTGTTATTCTATTATTTTTAGTTATTGAAGTACCAAATAAAAATATAAGGTGTATATCTCTTTCTGTGACTGCCAATTTGTTACTGAATGTTGGCGATATTATAGTTTTTCGTACTTTCTTCGCAGAACCGTGGAAGGCTCTGCAGTACTATTCAAAACCATGTTCTCGGGTTCGTTTTTCCCAGGAGATTGTCCATGTTCCGGGATTCTATCTCCCAAATATTTTATTGAGATTACTTTTTAAACACTTTATATTTTTGTTGTCACTATCAGAAGCGGACTAAGTCCTGGGCAACCTAAATAAAGTTTTTAATTTTTAAATTTTTATAATTAATTTTTTATTTTATTAAACAGAAAAACGTAATAATTATAATTATTATAGAAACGTGTCTAAATTATACCGAAACGTTGATTGATAAGGTCGTCAAGGTTGAACGAGCGTTCCCATGCTTACCATGAATGGAAAAATGTACATAAAAAATTTTCAGAGAATGAAAACTCCAGTGACCACTTTAACTCCATGACTAACTGTCTAGAATATTTTTATATTCTAGAATTTTATATTACAATCTAGAATTATATTTTTTCTTCCCATTTCATACCAATGCGCCAATCATTCTTAAATTTAATTTGAAACGCTGCTATCGAAATTTTCATGAAAATAAAAATTTGCACTTTTCTTACTATCGTTTAAGAATGGCACCTATTCTTTTTTAAGTTCTACATATAGGCGTAGTTCCGGTGCTGTGCTATCTTTAAAGAAAAAATATGAAGAAATTAAACATTGTTTTCCTCAAACAAAGTTGAAAAATTATTAAAAATATCCCATGCTGCGAAATCACACAAAAAAACTTGATACATTTGAATATGTACTATTACTATATGGAAATATATTCCCTATATGGGAACAGATTTTAGAGAAAATAAATGCTTCAAACAAGACTTCAGCAAAAAGACAAATACCTAAATACAGCAGTATTAATATTCTTATTGAGTAGGATTCATTCAAAAGAAGTAGAAAAAGTTAAAGATATTGCATATACTAACGATAAAAAATGGCAGAAAATATGAAAACTATTTCATGATGAAATTCCCGAAAATGAAATAAGAATCAGTGACAACTGACAAACGATATTTCAAAGCTAATATTTTTATTGTGTACGATTCTTTACTGATCGCATAAATATCTGAGGGATATAAAACTATTAACAATAATTTCAAAACAATTTTTCATGATAGTGATGTTAAAACTCTTCAATAGAGGAATTAAAAATATATGAACAAGATTTAAATCTAGCAGAACTGAAAAATAAAGTATTATAATTTAAGATTTTGATTAATAAAGAAGATATTATTTAGCCGGTATCCTTGTAGTCATTTATTCAGAACAATATTATTATTGCAACATTCCCAGTTTTAAACACAATGCTGATCTTTTATTTAAACCCTTCCAATAAGCAATGCAAGCAGTGAAAGATCATTCTTAGTAGGTAAAGGCCAGAATGAAAAAAATTTAAGATCGCATTAGACCAACACAAATTAAATAGTTTTATCATTACTGTATATAGAAAGAGCTGTTAAATAATAATCCTTAAATATGACAAACTAATTGACGGGTTTAACCATGGGCCCCTAGGGCCTGTTGAGCTGTATATAATATAATTGATGGGTTTGCAGAAATAAAAGTGAGAAAAATAGTAATATAACTAACCCATCTGGATATATTTGTTGTATTTTTTTGATTATCGTATTGTAATCGTTGTAAGTATTGTTTGTTTTAATAAACTACCTCATCATCATCATCACTGGCTCGACAACCCTTTTTGGGTCTTGGCCTGTTCAAGAATTCTTCTCCATTCTGACCTGTTTCGTGCTTTTTTTCCAGTTTTTAATTTTTAATGTTATATCATTTTTTATTTGTTCTACGTATCTCAGCTTCGGTCTTCCTCTTGTTCTTTTTCCTACTGGCACTTGTTTGAATATTTTGTTTGGTATTTCGCTTTCTTCCATTCTTTCCACATGTCCAATCCAACGTAGCCTTCCTATTTTAATGAATGTTATGATATCCGGATCCTGGTATATGTTGTATAGTTCAAAGTTATACCTTCTCCGCCAAATCCCGTTTTCTTTTGTGCCCTTATATATGTGTCGCAAGATTTTTCTTTCAAAGGTGGCTAATAATGTTTCCTCCCTTTTAGAGAGTGTCCAGGTTTCTGAACCGTATGTGAGTACCGGTCTTATTAAGGTTTTGTATATTTGGCATTTTGTTTTTCTGGAGACGTTATCTGATCTTAGTTGTCTAATTAAGCCATGGTAACATTTATTGGCAATAAATATTCTCCTCTTCACTTCCTCTGCAACGTTGTTATCAGACGTAACTAGGGATCCTAAGTATGTAAAGTTTTTTACCGCCTCAATGTTGTATTCTCCTATTGTTAAATTTGGCAGCTGCCTTATTTGTGCGTTTTTATTTGCAGGCATATATTTTGTTTTTGTCTGATTGATTTTAAGACCACTATTTTTTGCAGCTCGTTCTATTTGAGTGAATGCCTCTATCATTTCTCTTCTTGATCTTGCGATTATGTCAACATCATCTGCAAATGCTAGTACTTGCACGCTTTTATTAATTATTGTTCCTCGGGTATTAACTGTTGTATTATTTTTTCAAGTATGATGTTGAATAATATGCATGATAGAGCGTTTTGTATCCGGATTTTACTTTCTACTTTTAGTGTTTCTTTTATCAATTCTATTAGCTGTGTTGGTATATTAAATTCTTTCATTGCTTTTGTTAGGAATTCTCGGTTTATATTGTCATATGCGCTTTCGAAGTCTATGAAGAGATGATGTGTGTCGATGTTATATTCACTTGTTTTTTCAAGGATCTGTCGCAGAACAAATATCTGGTCTATTGTTGACTTCTGTCTACAGAAGCCACATTGGTATTTGCCAACTATTTTTCAGCGTATGGTCTAAGTCTTTCATACATTATGTTGGACATTATTTTGTATGCCGCATTCAACAGCGTGATTCCACGGTAGTTTTCACATTCTAACTGGTTTCCTTTTTTTATGTAGTGGTACAATAATGCCGCTATTCCACTCCTTTGGTAGCTGTTTATTCAACCATATCTTTCTTATCAGCTCATGTATGGCTTTAGTAATGCGTCTCCTCCTTCTTTCAGTAGCTCCGATCCCGGTGATTTATTGTTCTTTAATTTGTCCACTGCTGTTCTAATCTCTGCTATTGTTGGTGGACTCTTTTCTCTGTTGTCTGATTGGTATAACGGTATATCAGGGTTCATCTCCGTCCTATTCACCCCAAGCTTTTCCTTAAAATGTTCTGTCCATCTTCTAAGTATCTCTTGCTGTTCTGTCAATATATTACCCTCCTTATCTTTACACATCGTTGTTCTCGGTTTGAACTCTTTGCTGCTTTTGTTGAGTTTCTGGTAAAATTTTCTTGTCTCTGTTGGTTTACTTAGTTCTTGTAGTTCTTGAAGTTCTTTGTTGATATATTCTCTCTTCTTTCTTCGGTGAATTTTCTTTTCTTCTTTACGTAGTTGTTTATATTCTTCCTCTGCTTGTCGGGTTCTGTGCCTCTGTTGCATCTGTAGATATGCTCTGTTTTTTCTTTCTGTTATAGTTTGACATTCTTCGTCAAACCAGTGATTCGTTCTTGTTCTTCTTTCTTTACCTACGTTTACCTTTTTTACCTAATAAACTACCTACGTTTATTTAATTTTTGTACATGTATATTATTTTTTTTCTTTTATTGTTTCTTGGAATCCGATAATTAAGGAACTACACACTATATGCTTTAAAACTAAACTACCAAACGCAAAGTATGTGTCCAATGAAAAATAGGCCCGGAATTGCAATGTTGCCTAGGGCCCGCTTTAGTCTTAGTCCGCCAGTGGTCACTATCATAACATCGCCTTCATGGTTTCATTTTTGAACTGTTTGAAAGACTTTTATGTCTTTACGTATTCTTCTTCATTAGATATATGGTCCTTCCAGGTAATCCTGAGTATCTTTCTATATACCCAAATTTGGGTATATAGAACTGGATATATAGAGCCTTTACCTAGTCTTATAATTAGATATTCTGAATATACTCATAAATCTTTTTCAAAAAGAGCTGGATTAACTATAGTTACTTTATAAATAACACCATTAATATTCAAAATAGCGACAAGGAGTAATGTAGATTATATCAATACTTCCAAGATACCTTCAATTATATGCTTTAAGAAATGAAATATATCTTTGTTTTAGGTACTTGTTTTGGGTGATTCAGGATTACAACAATGGTGGCTTTTTTCGACTCGACATAAACGATATTAGCAATGGCATTCCCGCAGACAAGAAAATTAAAAAAGTACTTAACGAAACCGAATTAGGTGCCTTTACATTTGAGTACCATAATTTCAACGTATTGGTATCTTATCAAAGACTGAACACAATTATGTCTGTTACTTTAGATGGGTAAGCATTTCAGATATCGCTTTAATTTTTTATTTTATTCTGAACAAAATATAAATTTGTGGATATCAACATCAATGATGAATAATTATATAATTATGAATCATATCCTTACGCACCAGTGATTGTAGAGTTTATCAAATGTCAGATTTTTGTTTTTATTACACCGTTTATTTTTGTTACATTGCGTTTTGACAATTAAGGATCCAGGCAGCAAATATTGGAAGGTTGTATCACTACTTGGATTGCATTTCCTGAAGCAACTAAGACTCTTATTCATTACGCGATTTTCCGGCCCATTGCTTTGTACGGTATACAATTAAACATTTTAAATTGAATTCCGTAATTGCAGTATGAACTGCAACTGAATATCCTTATTGGCGGCACTGGACGAAGACGTACAACAATGTCAATCACTTTTCTTCTTTTTCCAGTCATTCCAGCTTCATATTTATCCTTAGACATGCAGTCGAATTGATGTTTTCATCATAATCACTCATATGCAAGTATTTAATTCGTACTCCATCTTTTTGGTAGCTATTTCAATTTAAATATCATTAAACAGATATTAATAAGACTATGCGGAAGCATTGGAATTTATACTAAACATTACAAATACGATGGTAAAAAACGGTAACTACCGCCTTCAAGAGACAATTAAATCGCAATACAGTTTTCTGGCTATCAGTATAAGATTGAATAATTTCTTTATTTATCTGTATAACGTAGTTATTGCATATTCCATTCATTTCTTCTTTTCTTAGCCTTCTGTCGTCCATGTTTGGACATAGGCCTACCCAACTCCTTCCATTCTCCATTCCATATGAATTCCATTCATATTCTCTAGTAAAAGTTGAAACTCTTCTGGCGTTCTTACGAACAACACAGGATCGTCTGCATATCTAATAATATTTATCACTTGTTCATTAACGATTATTCCTTCATTTGCGCTTGATGAAGCTTCCTGGCAAATAATTGACTATAGACATTAAAAATAAAAAAAATAAGTCACCAATAATAACAACTAAGTCTAGTATGTGCTAAGAAATGTTCTGGTGGGTCCCTGGATGAGAAGAGTGTAACCCAGTTTTTCCTTTTTTTGGTTGTCATTTATACGAATATGAGGTTTTCTTTACACAAAGATAATAATTGCACATACAGTAAGCTAAGTTTTGGATTAGATATTGCAAATACAAAAAGTGCTAAAATCGGCAACATTGCCTCATACGAGATAATTGTACTTCTTCGATCAACTCCGCTCCGACACCTAGACTCCTAGACAGAAAACTACAAAACCATTTAGTAACAAATAACAACGCAAGGGATATGCAACTCCGTCCGTCGATTTTTGTTTTGCTTACTTACACCTGGTTTATTTCTTATAAAATAAACTTCATAAAAATACACTGACTATTATAAGGCGGTGCATTTGTATCGGTATTTAATAATGTGAACCATTTTTGTGATTGAATTAAAAATAAAAGCGTATTTAATAAGATAAGAAATAATTCTTTATGCCCTACAGAAATGTTTCAAATATTTGACCTTGTACGGCTGAACAGTACCCCAATCTGTCATAAAAACTTCTGCGGATAGATGTAAGAGTTCCTGCTGTAATAAAATTGGAGACTTCTCTTATTAGGTTTTGTAATGCATCCAAATTTTCGGCTCTAGCCTCAAGATGATCATAGATGATGTTTTTTAAATGTCTCCAAAAAAAATAGTCCATGAGTGTCAGTTCTGGAGATCGCGCAGGCCACTTAATGTCGCCTGTTTCACTGATAACTCGATTCAGGAAAGTATTGTTTCATTACTAGCTAATTATTCAAACGTTGTGAACTGAACAGCCGTCTTGATGGAACCAAACATTCTCCAGATTTACATCAGGAAGATTGAGAATAGCGGGAAGAACATGATTCTATAATAAATCGAAGTATACTCTACTATTCAAGTTACCCCAATAAAAAATGGACCTACTATGTGTCTCCGAAAATGCCAGTCCAGACGTTAACTTTTTGAGGACGTTGAGTTCAGTACACAACACGTTTGGGCTTTTTCTCGTGTCCAAAACCTCGTAATGGAAGGATTGTGTCTCCCTACTAACGAAACTGAAGACTCATCAGTAACTAAAGTATTTTTAATACAATTGGGTTTATCATTAGCCTTCGTTATTAAAGTTTCACAAACTCCATTCTTCGAAAGTAATCGTCTGGATAAAGCTACTGCGTTTTCCAATATTTAAAATTCCTTACCGTGCTTTTTCAACACTTTCGTTACAGTAGCATTGCTAACATCTAACTTCCTAGCAACGCTTCTACTTGAACGTGTTGAATCTACCTCGATTGTTGCACAAATTTGTGTATCCCGGTATTCTCTTTCCTTAATTGTTTCTGGTGACCTTCCTTAAGCATGACATTTTATACAATTTTTGATGCAATAGTAACTCTCAAAATTTTTAACAATATTATGAACTGACTCTACGCAAGGATTTGGTCTCTCCCCAAAAAAACCTAAAAAATAAATTTACACACTGTTGCCTAAAATTACCACAATATAACCATTTTATTATTTGAACCTTTTCTGCGGTCGTATAGACAGATATGTTGTTTACAAAAATAAATTAAAAATATACGCCCTTATTGCTTTAAACAACCACTCTATAATGACAAATTATTGACGATAGGAAGCGGAGGTTCTTGGAAAAACGACGGCGCGCGCAGTGTTGCCATTTATACTGTGTTTATCTCATTTAAAACTTAACGCCCGGACACACTGTATGTGACTGGCTGTATGACCAATAGTCCAAGCTGAAAGAAAATGTTTTATTCAAAGTTTATTGCTAATGCCCTTTGAAACCGTATATATATTTAACTAGTTATTTTTAAGTATTGGTACTGTTATTTTTCTTATTTATATTTATCATTCTGAATTGTAAAATTTGATAATACTAGGTATAGATTCCTTAAATCGGAAACAAATTTTGACCAATAATATATTTATATTGCATATTTTTTAGAAACGACATAAAAAATATTCGAACCACTGTAGCAACATCCAAACTGTACAAAGTTGTATCCTTAGCGATGGAAAATAAACTGTTTTACTGGACGGATGGCACAGATGTCTATTTCGAAGATTACAACGAACATAGTAAAAGTTATTACCATAACGCTTTAGTCATAAACTATGGATATTATAAAAAAGTTTTTATAAATTCGCAAAGTTCCCAACCATGGCCTACTCCAATTAATCCACCAACAAATGTACAAGCTATATTTGGAATTGATATTGCTAAGACTAGATGGCAGCCACCTCATTTAGTTGGACTTCAAGGTATATTTTTTTTCATATTTTTTATTAAAACTTAATACTGGTTTAACGGGTGTGTAACGTATGTCCTAAAACTTTTTGCATAAACTTCACTGACTTTAATTTTAACCAAAACAAAATAATATCAAGTAGCTCTGGAAACAAAAGCTTGTTTACTTTGTTTACTGTCAGTTGAGATTTATTTATTTTGAAGCTTTTGCTTTAAGATGTAGGTTGTAGATAGATGTTGGTTGGGCAGGTACCCAAAACTATAATCTGTTGAATATTTCCAAATGAAAACATTTCACACAAAACGATTTATAGAGCAATAGCGAAGAGCGAGCAGGAATAACGTCTAAATCTACTAAAAAGTGGAAAACCACATGCATGTACTGCACATAGATCAGAGAAATTGGTAAGAAGACCAAAAAACCACGTTGGAATATCAACGAGGAGACTGACCCGACAAAATTGATCTTCTAAGAGTAGAATATCACTGTAGTTGGGAAGGAATGGTCTTAAATATGTAAAGAGACGTATGTGCCCCAAATACTCCCAAGCAACTCAGTCGTATACCAAAATGCTCTTCTCAACTAAGGCGGGTACACTTTGCCAATGAAAACTTGATTATTTAAAATGACGAAAAGACGAATTTTACCATGAGTAGTTCTGAAATGAAGGGAAACGATATATTTTATACAAACAATGCAGATGAATATCCCAACAATACTGATTAGGGATTTATAAGAGGGGTGTATTCGACCTTTAGTGGGAAGAGTAATGGTAGAAGCTTTTAGTTCTTCTTCTTCTTTTTCAGCCTTAAGTAATCCAACTTTGGACATAGGCCTCCCCCAAATCAATCCAGTGTCTTCTATTTTGCGCCGCTTGCTTCCAGTTGTGTCCTCGATCATCTTAATGTCATCAGCCCATCTCATTTGTGGTCTTACTCTGCTTCTCTTTCTTAACCTCTCTAAAGTTTTTAATAGTCAGAGCTGTATTAATAACTTTTTCTCTGCATGCCATACGCTATGCAGCGTATAGGCATGCTGGTTGTCGAATGTTCAGAAATCAAGTATGAAACCTTTCGCTGCTTATCGAGATTTAACAATTCTCTTTAGACTTTAGCTCTACTTAGGACCTAATTATTTATTACATGATCTACCCATGAAATTCTAAGTAGCCTTCTGAGACATCATTTCGAAAGCCTGCAGACGATTCAGAGATCCCACTTTAATGATATTGATAACTCTCTTTCCAAATTGCTTCAGCCTCCAAAAATGCTAATGACGATATAATGTTTTGGTCAGACCTAGCATCATACCATTACTCAAGAGATTCTCAAAACTGGCTTTAACAACGCCATTGCTGTATTTTTGCTGTTCTCAAAAATACTAATCCTCCAAACTCGCCACAGACCTTTACTTTTCCAAAACCGTTTTCATATATATTTCTAAGAAGAAGAATTATCAAATGTGCATATTTCTTTAGTAAACCATATTGAGTTTAAATGATAAACATTTTGACTCTTTTAACTGAGTGTGATTTTGATAAAGATTACTTTATTGTCGATACCACTCTTCCCGATTTATATGCTGATTGGTTTAAGCTGAGCTTTGTTTATTAATTGCAACTTGCTCTTCCACCTTCATTCTTTATCCTATTTAGGCTAAAGAAATTGGTGAAAAAGCACCCTTTTAGGACACTTATTAATACGTATACCTAAAAGATATTCTTAGTGAATTTATTCTTAGTGAAGTAATGTATAATATTTATAAGTTTAAATGTATAGGGTGACTCTAGCAAGTCTAGCATAATCCATAAGACTTTATTTATAATGGAACAACTATGTATTATATTTTATGGTAAGCTATACTAGGCTGTGCTAGGCTATGCTAGGCTATGCTAGGCTATTCTAGGCTATGCTAGGCTATGCTAGGCTCTGCTAAGCTATGCGAGACTATGCTAATTAATTGACGTTTCAATTTCCACTTCGGAAATCGTTCTCAAAATACAAACATTTGAGAAAGATTTTCGAAGTGGAAATTAAAACGTCAATAAACTTATTTTAAACTTCAATTGTGGCTTATTCCCATAAAAACAATAATTACTTTAATATGCTAGAAGAAAATAGCATCCGAACAATATTAAGAAACCGTTATGGGCCCAGCGTTATTCAAAATTTTCGACAGTGGAGACTGGAAATTCTTTACGAAAAACTGGCATATTGTCAAAATTTAATCAAATTAAATTATATGTCGTATTATAATAGTCAATCAATAAATAAATAAAATCAATAAATTGCGCCCAATCAGTTTGGATTTGTGAACGCCGTTGGTATGGGGGAAGCTTTATTTAGCGTGAATTTATTTTTTCAGAAATGTAGAAATATCAACTGTAATGTTTTTGCATGTCTCATTTCGCATGTCACAAGAAGGCTTGCGATAGAGTCAGTCATGAACAAATAGTGGAAGTGCTGAGGAGGAAAGGTATTGAAGGAAGAGACTTCAAAATAATAGCTAACCTGTATTGGAATCAATCAGCGGTACTCCGAATAGATGGAAAATATACAAATGAGGTCAAATTATTCAGGGGAGTGAGACAGGGGTTCATAATTTCACCACTGATATTCAATCTGTACTCGGAGCATATTTTTGAAGAGGCTCTAAGAGATATTGATGAAGGCGTCTCAATACCATAGAAGGGCTGCAAAACTTAATGAACAAAATAACGGAAATAGGTAGAACATATGGACTGGATACAAACATCAGCAAAACCAAGCTAATGATCATCAACAAGGAAAATATAACTGGAGCAAATCTGTATGTGAACCAAATGAGAATTTAACGTGTCTTACAATACAACTACTTGGGAACTATAATCAATGAGTCGTGGGACAATACCCAAGAGATTAAATGTGGCATCGTAAAGGCACAAAGTGTATTCTTGACTCTAAGATCTGTGTTCAAAAACCATGGCCTCACCGTAGAACCAAAAATAAGGCTCCTTAAATGTTACGTGTACTCAGTGCTTCTGTACAGAGTAGAAACGTGGACATTGGAGGCGGAAACTCTATCAAACCTTCAGGCTTTTGAGATATGGTTATATAATAAAATCCTGAAGATTCCATGGACAGACAAAGTCACCAATGAAGAAGTACTGCGAAGGATGAACACAACCGCGGATTTGGTCAACATCATGAAGGGCCACAGGACGAAGAAGAATATCCTGGCTTGCTAATCTGAGAGCATGGTATAGAAAAACCTCAACACAGCTATTCCATATAGCAACCAACAAAGTCATCATAGCCAGAATGATCGCCAACGGTCGAAACGGACAGGCACCCTAAGAAGAATGCCGATGAAATTGGATTACTAACCGGGAACATGTTCCTACTCGAAAAATGATTTCTATATCCAAACGTTAAATTAATTATAAAAATTTAACGAATCCCGCCACCCATTAACACGTAGACTTTTTTTTTATTAAAATTGTGCACATTTTTTCACGAATTGAAAAAAAAATCAATGATTAATTTGTAATTTTAGTGCAATATATAAATTTATACTATGAACAAAAATCGAATAGTGAAATGGGAAAATTTGTTTTCTGTAAAAGAAACAACAGAATTCCATCAGAATAACTAAAAAAGTGTATCGATCCATTTTATGAAGAAAACGTGAAAATTATAAGTTTTAGCAAATTGGGCACGGAAGGAATTCTTAGACTTGATTTTTTTTAGAATTTATTAGTTTTACTGTGAAATAAACACAATTTTTGTTTAATATACTCGTTTTCATCGTTCTTGGTGTGTGCCTGAAATAAGCTACTACGGAATTTTTAATATTCGTCTTTCTCTGATACACATATGTGTAATTCAATTGTGCGAGTCACGTTCGTCATGGTAAAGTGCGATGAGAAGGTAATGAAGAGACCACTCACGTCTCCCAGTATTATAGCAATAACACCGATGCGTTTGGCCGATACGGTGTCGGTGATAAGTTCAGCCTCTTACGAATACAAATAGCTGGCAGTGACGTGTTTTTTTTTTAACATGTTACCCTGATCTGTGCAAGTTTGAAGTAGCTAATGAAATAGTTTTTATAAGTAAACAGTTTTTAATTAATTAATAGTTTGAGCTCTTACTGTGAGGAATTCCATCACATAAAATAATACTCTCAACACCTTAAAAATTCCAGTTTATTATAAATTAACTCTCTCTCTTCCGATACCCATTGCAATAATGAATTGTGGCATTGTTTTTGAATGAGCTGGCTAATAGGTTTATAATTGTAGCAATTACCATTGATATTTTATGTTGTTTTAGTCGATTTTAGTCAATCATTGTTGGAATTTGTTCCGAACAGTTTTACTTATTATTTTTTGTTGTGAATAACTAATTGTTCTACTTAATAAAAAAAATGCCGGGAAAAACGATAACAGCAGAAATGCGACAATGTGTAGTTCATTTATTGGAGTATTTTAAAAAAGAAAAAGAAAACAACGGACCTTTGCTTTCGTTATAATCGGTACATGAACGAGTAGCGGACGCTTTGAAAATCAGTCTTTGCACAGTGACAAGAATAAAGAGTGAATACAAGACAGGGGCAGCTTTTACTACACCAGGAGAGTCACGTAATGTACAAAAAAAAAACTAATGATGTCAGCGATACTATAAAAGGAGAGATTAGAATGTACTGTATGGCATGAAAGCAAAAGGAGAGCACGTTACAATTAAAGTTCTAAATATACAATTAAGAAACAAGCATCTCTATGACAGTTCTGATACAAGTTGCTGGCGTCTTATGAAAAATTGTGGGTTTTCATACAAACTAGAAATAGTAGACGAGTGTTATGTGAGAAACCATGTATTGTCTCCAAACGACTTTTTAGGCATTAAATGAGAAATTTTTTGAGTCCAAGCCCACTTCAGTTCGTTTTTTTAGATGAAACATGGATATTCCTAAAAGGGGCATATAAACGTACTTGGCAAGATGACTATGTGAAAAGCATCAGAAAAGGACACGAAAATACAGGTAAACGCTTAGTTGTTTTACATGCCGGAAGTAGGCAAGGATTTGTTAAAGATGCTGGATTACTGTTTTCTACTAAATCGAAGAGTGCAGACTATCATGATTCTATGGATAAAGAGTCTTTTAAAAAGTGGGTCTCCGAAAAGCTGATATCAATGTTGAGGAACAATCTCTAAATATTATGGATAATGCCTCATACCATAGCTCTTTAATAGAAAAGTTACCGAATGCCAGTTGGAAAAAATCGGACTTACAAAAATGGTTACGAGCGAAAAAAATAATTTTTGACGACGATTCGGGCAAGACAGAGCTATTGAGTTTTTGTCGCCAAAATAAACCACAAAATACCGGGTACGTTATAGACGAGCTACTCCAAGAACATGGGCATCAGTTTTAAGATTGCCTCCATATCGCTGTCAATATAATCCGATTGAGTTAGTCTGGGGCATTTCAAAACAGTACTATGATCGTCATATTGGAGAACATGGACGTGGAGATGAAACAGTGAAAAAACTTTGGGGCGATGCATTAGCTGAGGCAACACCTGCAGTGTGGGCGAGTTGTATTAACCACACAGAAAAATTAATTCAGGACGACTGGGCAAAAATGGTCACATATGATGAAAATGAAAGTAGGATTATCATCGATTTGGCGGAAGATTCCAATGATGAAGACAGTTCCAGTGAAGACGCTGACTGATTAGCTAATTAATCAAGGTCAGTACGTTGTAACAGTTCAGAATTCGCTACAGTGCTTAAAACTTAAAAAATCTGTATCATTTTTTAATTAAAGTGGGCTAAATAATTAACACTTTTTTGGGTATATTTCAAAATCCTTTTAAAATGTACTTTTCGTTATATCCTGTCCTATTGTACTGCAAGCTAGAAAAATACTTCTTCGCAATTTATACGTATATTGCGTTATTAGAATTTTAATGAAAAATAACTTATAATTTTCTTTTATAACTATTATTTCGTTTGACATGCTACATTTTGCTCCTCCACTGGAGGAGGAAAACGAATCGAGCTTAGACAAGGAAAGACAGATGAAACAACTTATTGCAAGTGTTTTTACACGCACACGCCAAGAACGATGAAAACGATTATATTTATTTTTATTTTACGTTTCTATTTTTACTTTTGAAATAGTTTTTCGATTTTTTACCTTTTTAATTATTCTTCCCGATTGTGTGAATTTTCTCTCTATGAGAGAGAATTTGTAAAATTTTTTAAATTTTCTTAAAATGGTTCTGTTTAATAATTTTTCGGATTTGTCGTTTAATTTCGTCTGCAAGTGTCGGTTTTGAGTTGATTCTATAAAAATTTTTTATCAATTAAAATCCTTTTTTCTTTTGTGTTAAATTTTAGCATTACCTTATCACTTTTTGCATATTAAGGTTATGTTCAGGATACTCGAATTCAAAATAAAGTTAATCATCAAGATGCAAATACTATTTTATTTAAATATATGATTGCAATTTGGATAAAATTATTTTATGAGATTCCCGTCTGAGGATTAGATATATACTTTCGTTTATTAAGCGTATAGTCCGGAACGAATGAGACATGTACATTCAAGATAATTTTATTATGTACAATCAAAAAACATGTGCAATAGCTCCAACAATGAAACTAAGGTTTTTTACATTTTATATTTCACAAAAAATGTTTACTTATTTATTTTATTGTGAATAATATATTCTCTATAATGTACTTTGAAATTTGGATTTTAGGCAAAGGTGCTTGGCAAAATTGGTCCTATGAAATTTCAATAAAAGAAGCAAACACAGATCATACAGTTATCCATAGAAATATAAACAACACGTTCTTTACTATTACAAACCTTAAAGAAAATACGGAATATATTCTTAAAGTAGCGGCTTACACCAACTCTGGAAAAGGACCATGGTCATCAGATTTTCGGGGAATCACACTTAATTCTTCAAAAACGCCTATTCTCTTATGGTCAGCTTCTGAGGGTCTGCTAAGGACAAATGCTGCAGGAGAAAGCTTAGAAATACTTATTGACAAAAGTACAATGAAAGATTATCACTATACAGATATAGCTCCATATAGGGATCAAATTTTCATGGTGACAAATACATCTTACGTCTATTGGTATAATACTACGTCGAAAAAGCAAGGACGTTTGGTAGATTTGGATTCAGTTGGTAGTATTGCTGTAGATTCGATTGGAATGAAACTCTACTGGTCCAATCCCAAACAACAATTAGTAAGTGATATTATATTTTAAATAACTTAAACACATGTAAACATATTTTTACAATCTTTTAACCGTTTAATTTTATTTTTTTTATCGTTTTTTATAGTGTATGATATTAATTAAAGGAAGTCAAATTACTCATTTCTCGTAAGATATACGAAAAAAAATCATTTAGGTAAAGTTAGAGCATAGGTACGACCATACATTGAAAATATTTTCAAATATACGGGTCATCTATATTGACAGTGTGGAACACACTAATCTTTTTTTTTATTGGAACATCCTGTAGTTTTTAACATTTTTCCCGTTTGTCGGTGTTCTGGATTTTGCAATTTTGCTTTTACAATGTTATACGAGGTAGTCTAAAAGATAACGTTTTTTATTAATTCCATAGCGACATTAGCATCTAGTAATGTAAGTGGGCCGGAAATTATTATTAACAAATAATTTATAACAAAAAAAAAACAATTTCACGAATCGCTTCTAATAAAAGTTTTTTAGGTATATCTCATCGAAATAAATACTTTTTTCTATCCTGGTAATTTTTCGAAAAATGCTTCCTTTTCGAGTTTTTTTTGCAATTTTTTGTTAAAAAAATGACTTAGTGAATTGTGGGATACTGTAAGCGTAAGGTAAGATCAGTGACATATAATACATATTTGTTTTACGTCTTTGGGTAAGATATACATATACACTTACTATAAAAATAAAATGACGTTTAACAAACGTCAACGTTTACCAAAATAAAATAAAATTAAAACTCAATAAAACTAAATAAAATTAAATACAGTTAAATAAAATTAAATAAAATTAAATAAAATTAAATAAAATTAAATAAAATTAAATAGAATTAAATAAAATTAAATAAAATTAAATAAAATTAAATAAAATTAAATAAAATTAAATAAAATTAAATAAAATTAAATAAAATTAAATAAAATTAAATAAAATTAAATAAAATTAAATAAAATTAAATAAAATTAAATAAAATTAAATAAAATTAAATAAAATTAAATAAAATTAAATAAAATTAAATAAAATTAAATAAAATTAAATAAAATTAAATAAAATTAAATAAAATTAAATAAAATTAAATAAAATTAAATAAAATTAAATAAAATTAAATAAAATTAAATAAAATTAAATAAAATTAAATAAAATTAAATAAAATTAAATAAAATTAAATAAAATTAAATAAAATTAAATAAACTTAAATAAAATTAAATAAAATAAATCAAATTAAATCAAATTAAATTAACTTAAATAAAATTAAATAAAATTAAATAAAATTAAATAAAGGTAAAATTAAGCTTTACATGTAAAGAGGCTGGAATACCGTTTTTGCTTCATTTCTTAAGTAAAATCATAAGAAAATGCAAAATGCTGTTCATTCTGCTCATTTTTTAAGCGTTTGGTGGTAGTGGTAGATTAGTTCTTAGATCGTGACGTATAATACATAATTAGAAAGGCGAGGGCGTAGCATGTTGAGACAGAAAAAACACACATTGCGGTATTACTCTGATTGGAGCGTATAATGTGTTAAATGAAAGGGAAGCATATAACAAATATATTAAGGTAGAAAAAACAAACAAGGCGACCACCAAAAGGGCACTACACGGTGCTGTCATTATTAATGAATATATAGAGTCATGCCAGATGTTATTGGCGAGGAACCGCAAAATGGGCGACGCCTGGTGGTAGATTTCAAAAGCATCCACTTCGGGAAAACATTGAAATTGTCATTATTTTTTATACATAATAGAGACCGGTTTATATTGTAATTAACAATGACTTCGACTTCAAAAAACTATTGCAGTGTTCCTCAATGTTCACCCTATTATAATTCACAAAAAAAATTCCATACATAAGTTTCCGCTGGACCAGAATATGAGAAAAGTTTGGCAATGCATTTTGTGAATTGGCAAACATATAACCAAGTACGTGATTGTGTGCAGTTTACATTTTACTTAGAATGATTACTTTCCAAGTGTTGATTAAAATATTATTTCTATTTTAATATATTTATACTTAATTTACTTTATAGTGACACCTAAAACTAAATTAATAAAACTGAAGAAAAATGCTGTTCCATCAGCTAAATTGCCCCAACGGTCTCATGAAGTTATTAGTAGAAAACGTAAGGCGTAATTTACAAAATATAACGTGGCCAGCTCCAAAAACTGCCTCACCCTCAACTAAAGATCTCTACCGATCTTGCAACCAAATTAATAATTAAGATAATGTAAATTATACTTTCCGTGTTTCAGACATACTGTAGAAAAACAAACATTTAATTTTATTTTATTCAGGTTTTGAGTAAATTACCTTATGTATAAACAGGAATCACAAACAAATAAACTTTGAAGAACGTACTCCAACTTTTACGTCGGAATTGGCTATCGCGAATAGGGCACTAGGATAAAAATAGTTTATCTTAAAGACAAATTTTAATGTATTGACTTAAAGAAGGTTTCAGGATGAATACAAAATAAACAACTGATCGAATCCTAAAATGAGAAATAGCAAATGAAAGGGAAGGACATAACGATTATATATTCAGATAAAAGAACATACAAAGAAAATACCAAAAGATCATAACACATCATCTTCGTTATTAAGAAACATATAGCGAAATATGACATATCGTATCAATACTATGCATGGTAGTAGACATTATATATAAAGCATAAGGTAAATTTGCTTTATTGATCTGAAGAAGGCCTCTGACTGATTACAAAATAAACAACTAGCCTAATACTAGCATATGACACATCAAATCAAACGACGCGTGAGACGTATAGTATATATTTATATTGTATATACCGTGTCATCAATATATATATATATATATATATATATATATATATATAATATATATATATATATATATATATATATATATATATATATATATTATATATATCGAGTATAGTAAAACACATGATGTCACAGGTTCACAGAAGTGAACCAGGTCATACTTTACATACATGTACATACATACATATTTACTTGGTTGATATGCAAAACTAGTTTTATATAAACATATACTTTCAAATAATGAATCCTCGACAGAACGGCAAGTACAACGCTAAAACGTCTGGATAGATGGCTTTTGATTGTTATGTAAATTCCGTCAAATTGTTACATTTTCATATACAAAATACATTGCTTCTTCACCACCAACTCCTCAGAGTAACTGTCGTACAACAGTATAACACACTCAAGATTAATTAATATAAAAAATAGCATATTATAGGTTTCTGTACAAAAATGTTGTTATTAGTTTTTCTTATGTTGAATAACAGAAATCATTTAACGACATAATAATTGTTAACGTTTCTGATACGGAACCAATGCATAAGAATTGTCACTGAGCAAAAATTTTAAATGTTTTAATTTTATCTGTCGATACACCCACACACATATTACTATTGATAATTATTAATAACTTCTCATTTTTTTTTCAGATTTTACGTGGAAATTTAAATGGAACAGAACAAGAACCACTGTTGACCGTTTTAGCCAAAGAGCTTAATATCGATTCAGATAAAGCTTATCTGTATTGGTCCACTGGGATAAAAGTTGAATGTGCCCATCTTAACGGTGTAGAGAGGTTCGAATACCATGATGTACAGTATTTTTCTGGAAAACAAGGTAAATAATAAAAAAGCATTTTTATTAAAAAAAAAATTAAGATTAAAATAAAATTAAAATAAAGATATTAATTCTGTTAAAGTAAAATGACCAGATTGAAAATTTAATACTTCTGTCATAATGTTTAAATTTGTTCGTTTCAGTTATGGGTTTAACATTAGATTTTGAACAGAAGTATGTTTATTGGATAGTTAGAGGATCAGAAGGATCAAACTTGTACAAAGGTAGAATGAAAGGTCACTGGGATAACGAAGTTCCCTCTGTTGAGATTATATCAAGTTTGCAGAAACCTAACATCCAAGGTTCTTTATGTTATTTTCATAAACGGCTGTTGTGGTTACAAGACGATAGAAATGCAGCCATAAGTGATCTGTCAGGGAAAAATATTGCGTCTATAAACGGAAAATCTCTACAAGGATTACACATGGTTTATGTTGTCGATTCCTCCCTATACATGTTACCAGGTAGGTATAAATATGAATATACTGAGTGACAAAAAAAGTAAACACCCAGGTATGTTTATTAGAATTCATTAATTTTTTACATATCGACTTATCTTGCCATAAACAACAATTAGTAAGTACTATACCGTATCCACTGTATCCGTAGCCTCTCATTTTGTATATGAGGCCAATGTGCCAGACTCCAGATATCCAGAAACGCTGCTCCTGTGTACTGGTTGTCATTAAATCCAGCTGTTATCTATTCTCTTAGTGTAAGTACTTGTAATTCGGAAAAGTATCTGCTCTAAATCCGAACTTAGCTTCTGAGATTAGTCCTATTTCGTATATTTCAGCTTATAGTCTGCTCAGTATTAGTCTTTCTACAATCTTGCTGACTGCTGGCAGTAAGCTTATGGCCTGTAGTTTTGCGGAAACGTGGTATTCTTTCCTGGCTTTGAAATCATGATAACGTGGGCTTCCTTCCATCCTTCCTTCCCTCCTTCCATCGATTTAGAAAGAGCCTGTATCTAAGGATTTCGTTTGTTATGCCGGTTAAAAATACTATTGTTTCTGCTGGTAGATACTTCAGAGCTCCATTTGAAATTACATTTAGACCAGCTGCTTTTCTGGCTGAGCTATTTCTAATTAGTTGATTTATTTCTTGAGGAGATATAAGTGTGATTACCTCCTCTGGTTCTTCTGGCATGTATTTTCTTGTTGTTTTTCGACTTCTTAGATGAGATGAAGTCTATATCTTCGTCTTGGTGATAATTTAATGTACACTCTCTCTCTCTCTCTAGAGTTCTTCTCATCACCTCGGATTTTCCATCTGTGGCGTAGACAATTCCATTTTCACCATGTAGTGGAGATATAGGTTTTGTATAATTTCTTAGTATTTTTTGTAGTTTTCATATGTTTTGCATGTTTGGACCTTGTTCTTCGTACCTTGTTGATTCCCTTTGTTCTCCTGGTTTCTTGTCCTTCTAGCTCCCTTTTTTGACTCTGTTTTCCTTTATTGTGTCCTTTATTTCCTGGTTTATATCTCTAAAACTTTCCATGTTGTTCGGATTTTTTATTATTTGTGAAATGGCAACCATGTCAACACTGCGCTTGGTTATGCGCATTCCATTTTTAGTTAGAGGTATTAAGTAAGAAGTAAGAGTGTGCAGATAGATACCTATAGAAAATGTCACACCGAGAGTGCAGTACCGCTAATATAGGAATGCACGATTGCCGGATTTCACGCCTTGTGCTTGGCGATACAAACAGGTCCAAGTGGTAATCACAGAACCGTACCCAGATCTCTACGCCGGGCTCTGTTATTTTTTATAAACATAATATATTGATAAAATAATTGCCTTCAAGTAGCCAAATAAGAGGCATGCATTTAAATAAAAAGACCTTAAGTTTTTAGCGATAATTTTATTATAAAACTGTATACTTTATTAAACTAACAAATGTATTTTAAATTACACTTCTTGATAGCTATAAATATACCGGGTGAAACCTCCGGTAACTCGATTTCCGTGCACCCAGCCCAATATCCAAGAAAAACTTTTTCTTTTGTAAATATGTGAATAATTATCAGGAACGGGAATATCGAAAAAGTTTTGCCCATTTTTTAATCCCGGCGATGTTATTAAAAAACAAGTTGCGCACTTGAATCACTGCGAAATTTTAACACCTACTATGAAATTTTTTTTTGTGGAAATCTGAAGTGCAGTTTTTGTTCTTGTTAAAACATAATGCTGTCTCACATTTTTTACACACAACATAAGTTTACCTAGTTCCTTGGCATAACAGCCTGGTAGTTTTCAGCGAAACCTTGTGTTATTCCATATGGGATAATGGTTTTCCTTGTCCATACTTGACCAGATGAGCAGGTATAAGGTTTATAGTTTAAGTTATTTAACATTATATTATATTTATACTTTATTAAACTAACAAATATATTTTAAATTACATTTCTTGATAGCTATAAATATACAAGGTAGAACCTCCGGGAACTTGATTTCCGTGCACCCAGCCCAATATCCGAAAACCCATACTCTGATTGGACTGGTAAATGCATTTTATTGGTTATACAGTGTAAAATAATCGAGGTTCCTCACAGACATTTAATTAATTATACTAAAGTCGTCCTCTACATCCGAGACGTCGGATTCGCTTTCGCTACTCTCCCCTGTGTTCGCGTGTATTATCAATTGGTCTACGTCATCTTGCAGGTTGTCCGTAGTTCACATCTCAGTTTCCGTTTTCTCAACAACATGAGTGACATAATTGCGCCAATTTTGCTCTGTGACGCGTGCGAAACCGTCGTCGATCAACTGGCGTACCTCGTCGTTTTTAAAAGTGGTATTATGGGTATCTACATATCGCTTAACTTGGTTCCACACCATTTCTATAGGATTCAATTCGCAGTGATATGGAGGAAGCCTTAAAATATAAACATTATGTTGTGAAGCATACTCATCAAGATGATACTTATCGTATTGATCTTTAAAAGCACGCGCTGCTTCTAATAGCTCGTATTTCAAATAACACTCGTCGAAAAAAATGTATTTTTCCACTAGCCATTCCTTGATTGCAGCTTTATTCCAGGAATTGTTAGGGAGTACACCCTCTTCATATGTGAATATTCTAGAATTTGATTGACACACTCGTTTTTTTTGGCGATTTCAACGTTCCACTCTGTTCTTTTTCTTTTTTGAAATTGTAAATGCTTCTTTCGCTAACACCAGTCATCAACGAAGTACGTCTACCGTTAAATAATTCACCGGATTTAAACTTATGGGACTCCATGCTCTCTGTTGAAACTCGGATTAAATTTTGAAGTGTAGTTTCGTTTTCCAAAATGGGTTACAAAAAGGATGGGTAGGGGGTGAAATAGGGAAAGCTTGGAGTTTATCAAATACTAATTATGACAAACAAGTTTATGGCCATATTTAGGTGATTATGTTAATGATGGTAATTTGTGGCAGAAGTTTTACAAAAGAAATGAAGACCTATTTGTAGAAACAACATAACTGTATTTTTAATATTTTACATACAATAGAAAAAATCTAATTTCTATGAAAGAATTGGAAATTTGAATATTATATATAATATCTATAAATAATATCATTTCCAAGTTTCCAAATTCTTTCCTAGAAATTATGTAGGTTTTTTCTATTTTATGTAAAACATTAAAACTACAGTTATTGTATGTTGTTCTTATAAAGAGGTGTTCAAATGTTGCTCTTATGAATATGATTCAATTGTATATCTCATGTTGACGTTTTCTATGCAAAATTCATAGTTTTCGTTGTCAATAACTCATCAATGCCTTTTTATTCTACTGTATACGTATACATGATATAAAATATTTTACTCGTATAGCCGGCAGATCCATTTTATCCAAGCCGGTCCTGTGAGACAATGAGCAATCAACAGCTGGAGAAAACCGACAACCCTGCGCGTTTGTTTTCCATAAGAAAAGCATTGCCGTATCTTACCAATTTACCCGTACTGCACTCTAAGTGTGACATTTTCTATAGACTTGTAACATGTCTATTATATTACTATTAAACAAAATTACCGTCCACAGCGTTTCAATTAAAATCTATTTACCAGTAAACCAGCGCAAAAGTGAAGACAAACAAGTGTTTTCACATTCTATTAAACACATGTGTATGTCTATTTCTTCTTCAGTATTGTTATTTCTATGCGCTTCTTTTACTATGTTTTCGAACTCTATGACTCTTCTATTTCTTGTGGATTGTTTATCACTGGGACGTTGACTGGTCAGTTCTTGTTTATCACTTTTCCTCACCGTAATCGTTTATTTGCACAAAATTTTAACGTTTATTTAGTTTATATTTATCACAATTAATTTTATTTTTATCACAGGTACACTTATTTTTATTGTTAATTATCCCACTACAGTTTATTTTTTCTCTATTTACATTACTGGTTAAAAGTATATTGTACATATACTTTTATTGGCGCCAAGGCTACACCTTATCGTCAATTTAATGTTTATCGACAAAGACGCTACCTGTTTTGGGTTAAGTACCAACGCCTTTATTCCGTACATATGTGTTCGTCTAGGTCGCTATACCAAGAAGATTCCTGAATATATTATTTACGGAACTTCATCAATGATGCAAGTTGGCAATTTTGACGAGGCTGTATTTAAAATAAGCTTTAGTTTATTACCTTTTATTTTATAGCATAAACTATAAAAAAATTAATTTATTGATGAAATAAATAAATTATGTCTTGTTTAAATATTTATTCTTTTATAGATCCATGGCTACAAGTAAACGTGATACCCAAAATGATAGACAAACGCTCTGTGAAAGTTGTTGGATCTTGCGAATCGTTTAATATAACATGGGATCCTGTATCGAATGTCAATTATGGTACTGTATTTTATGAGATCCAAATAGTTAACCCACTGAAGAGTAATGATTTAACTGTAAGTAATTTTTTTCTTTTTTACCTTATATATTTGTTGAGTTTAAGATATGTAGACTAGGCGTTTTGACAGATCATCAGTAAAGCTAGCAATTGTAACATTCTAGGGACCAATGCTGTTTCGTGGTCGATCAAAGTCCACGGAGTTTCAGAATATATTCCTAGGCATTTTGACCCTCTGAATTCGAATTGCAAATTTGCTTTTGCGTCGGAAGTGACGCAAATTGCATTTCTACAAAATGCAATTTGAAATACAAGTTTTAAAGGGGGCTCGCCGTTACAGGCCGAACGGCTAGAACCGTACAACTATAAGAGTTATGCGCGGAGTGAAATATAATAATTATATACGCAAAGCGAATGCGCGTACGGTTTAAACCGCGGAGGTCAAAGATAAAAATAAGCTTAAGTGACTACCTTTCTACTTACTATATGTCAATAACATAATTTTATAAAATATTATCTATGTTATAAGAAAAGTATGGAAAATAACATAATAAATTTGAATTTGTTCATTATTTGTTAAAAAGATAAACCCAATGTTAAATTACGCAGTATAGAAAATGGTAGCTTTCTAGTCGAGTTTTTTAAAAGATCTAATAGCTTTTAAAAGTAGCTTTTTAAAAGATCTAATAATTAAAAACCGGTCTAACTTAGATGGAGAAACGTAATGATAATATGATAATGATAATAATGACAATAATAAATAAGAAAACACAAACTATTCTATTAAGGTTGCACCATTCACTAAGAGGAAGAGAAAACCGTCTGGTTTAATTGTACGGTTTTCTATGAGATTAGCATTTCTGATATCTGGATTTCATTCGCCCATCCAGTGCTCCTCAATAGTGAAATCAGCCAATCTTGTAGCAGTTCTAGTAGATGGATGTCTGGATTTCAGTCCTAACTCTCTTTGGTCTAGCTCAGCGATGTCTGTATTTATCGGTAGTGCTGGCTTTTGTTGGCATTTTTGAACTAGGGTGTTGAGTGCGGCTAGTCGTCTTGTTGCTGGTGGAGCGATGTTGCTTAAAACTGGAAGCCATTGGGTTGGTGTGGCCTTTATAGTTACCGTTATGTGCCTCGTTGTTTGGTTTAACTGGGAATCTATGACGTTTGTGTGATGACTGTTTAGTTAGACAGGAGCGCAATATTCTGCAATAGGATATACTAAGGTCAGCGCACTCGTTTTGATGACCCCTGCATTAGACCTTCATGATGTATTTGCTAATTTCTGAATAATGTTATTGCGGGTCTTTATTTTGGCTGATGTGAAAAGTCTGTCACTTAGCATTTGGTTGATCAGATTGTTGAACGAAGGACATGGTGCCATCTAGTATATTTTAAATAAAGGACCCATCTTCCACATTGTGTCGTAGGCGCACCTCAAGTCTATAAAGCTGCTACTGTTTTAAGTTTCTTCTAAAATTGTGTGAAATTTAGATTTTCTAAAGTTTCTCTTTATATTTGTGTATAAATAATTAAGTTTGTGTGAATGTTAAGTAATTTTTTAAAAATTTTAAATATATGAATAGGTTTTAGCTCAACAGACTGTGATAAATTTTATCAACAATTTTTATAAAATCATTTATGAGACAACCTCATAAAGTTTGTAAGTATCGAATTTTTAATTAATTATACAAATTTGTAAAAATTATTCATCACATTTGTAGCTCCCTGATGAAGGACATAACCAATGTCCGAAAGCTTGGAATAAAAATTTAAAAGAGTAAAGTTGTTACGATATGAATTGGGAAAGAACAATTTTTGGGGTCCGGTCAGTAATTCTACGGCGAACATAGAAATAAAGATAAATCTTTGTAATTTTAATTATTGATTACTCCTGGTATTAGTCCACATGGATAGTGGTGTGGCTTATTAATTTGAACGTATCTTATTGGGTAATACTGAAATGTAATTGGTCAAATTTTTCGGAAGTGCATACACTATAACCAAATCTGGCTTTGCCGTTAGCAGGTAAAAATTGCTTCTCATGTTTCAAAGGCGGCAAGCATTTAAGTAAACACAATAACAGTGTCGTCGTGATAAATTAATTTTATTTTATTTTAAACTTATTATATAAACTATTTTATTTTTATAGTAAAATTGTAAACTCATTTTTTAGTTCTCAAATTAATAAGCATATTACATTTCATTTACATTATGTATGTATATACTTTTAATCATCAATTTTAAATTTCAATAAAAGTTAAGGAATTTTTAGGGTCCAGTCCCCAATAATTCAGAAATATAAACATTATTTGTAATTGATCACTAACGGTATTGTCCATATTGCAGCTGTGGTTTATTACTTTCTACGTATCTTATCGGGCACTACTGAAGTGTAATTAGTCAAATTCTTCGAAAGTGATTACGCTCAAACTTGATCGTTATCTGGTCAAAAATGCCTTCTCAGGTTTCTCATACTAAACGATATATTCAGTATCGTCGTGTACGACAGCAAGTTCACGTATATTTTTAATATTTTTGTGCAAACAGTAGTGTTGTGTTTTAGTTAAGTTTGAGTTAAGACAGTAGAAAATAAATTGTAAATACATTAAAGAATATCGAGATGACAATAGAGACATCGTGTATCTTGATGAAACGTGGTTTGACACCCATGATGTAGTTCAATATGGCTGGATGGATGATAGCAAAAAGTGCTGCTTGAATACTCCTTGTTCGAGAGGAAAAAGAATTATAATTCTACATGCTGGAACTAAAAGCGGGTTTGTACCTAATGCTTTGTTATTATCGGCCAAAAACATTAAACAGTGTCATCAGCTGATTATCATGAGGATATGACGGCTGAACTTGGCAACGGAACAGCTGTTACCGAATATTAAAACAAATTCCGTGATAGTAATGGATAATGCGTCATACCATTCTAGACTTTACACCAAAATTCCAAATACTAGCTCCAAGAAGGAAGATATCATAGAATTTATGGAGAACAAATGCATGGCAACACCTAGTAAATGTACCAAAAAGGAATTGTTGCAATTAATTAAGCAACAACATTTTCAAAAAGAATATGTAATAGATAAACTCTTTGAACGCCACGGGCATACGGTTTTACGGCTCCCTCCATATCATTGTGTTTTCAACCCAATTGAAATGATATGGGCAATGTAAAAAAGAAATTGCGGAAAATGAATCAATCTCCCCAATTAAGTGACGTTGTTGTCCAAAATATAAGAAGAGTGATAGAAGAACTTAACAAAACTGACATTTGGAAAAATTGTGTAGCGCATGTTCAAGTAAAAGAAAAAGAATATACTACTTTACCACCAATTGAACCGGTAGTTATAAACACAAACGACGACTCAAGTTCTGGACACACGGATAGTGATAGTGTTTAATTGTTTGAATATTTCTACAAAGACTTCCACAACTTGTCAAAAATATGTTCTGTATATCGAAGTAAATGTGATCTCTCGATTAATCTATAACCTAAGGGACAATTCGACTGTAAGACAAATTGGCCGATTTCATGTAAGTATCTTTCAAAAATAAGCTCTTTAAACCGATGAAACTTACAGATCATATTCATGATTATTTTTTACCAAAAAAAAGGGATCAACTTTGTTTTGAGCGTAACTTGCTTACGTTTGATGCTAGAAACTTTTAAAAAAATCAAAAATAAAGATTTCTCTAAACAATTAAAAAAAAAGTAAAAAAACATTTTTTTTTTGAATATTTCACGTTGAATTATTCGATATGGAATTTGACGAATAGGTAAGAATCTATTTTTCATTAGCTATAACTCTGCTTCTGCTGGGTATACAGACTTCATACATATACCATTGTTTTCACTTTTTTATAAACTGTATTTTTGCTACCAACATTTTTTCCATAAAATACTTACCTTTTGAGTTATTTGCGAGAAATCGTCCAAAAACGTGGTGTTTTTAATGAAAAATGAATATATTCACTCGCAAATAACTCGAAAAGTATTGATTTAGTAAAAACCTCTATAGAACAAAAGTTACCTAGAATTAGTCAGTTTATCCACTTCCGGACTTATTTTGGATGTATATCTTTTCACCCCCCAAGAAGGTGCGGTACTCTCCCCCAGGGCAAAAATACACATCGGCACAATATCACTTTTTTTCTTTGACACGTTAGCTATATGTGTATGACAAATTTCATATCAATCCCAGTGGTTCTTTAAAATTTAGAGGTTTTTACAATATTTTACCGTTAGTGAATGGACTATATTGTGTATTAACTTTTAATCATCTTTGGTGTCAAGTTCATAAAGAAATGTGAATAATTAACAATATTATTACTGTTTAACAAAATATTAGACCTTAATTTAAAAATAAAAGTTTATTATTTAATTTCTATTGCGCCGCCTATGTTTTACAAAGACGCCGACACTTGAGTGTCGAATTTTGTTTTTATGACTTGTCCAACTGACATCGTAGAAACTATACACCTTCCATTTTTATTGCTGCATACCCAATATTTAAAGTTTATATATATATATATATATATATATATATATATATATATATATATATATATATTATATATATATATATATATATATATATATATATATATATACATAAATTAGCTTATATCCTATAGACATCTCCAGATAATGTTTTATTTGGATTGCTGTAAAAAATATAATTTAAATATATTTTGAATTTTTTAGGTAGTAACAACAACCATTCCGACAATTAAATACTGGCTCGAAGTAACGCCTTTTACACCCATTAACGTAACTATAAGAGCATTTACTTACTGGGCTTCGTCACCTTTGCTTCATACTGAAGTCATTTCGCCATCGTCCACGCCATCTGCTCCTTTAAACCTAAGAACTTTTGTCGAATATGATGCTCATTCTTCCTCTGAAAACCACTTCGCAACAATAGTTGTGAGGTGGGACCCTCCAGTAAATCCGAATGGGATTTTACAAGGCTACAAACTGAGATGTTGGTTTATGGACAGCGAAGTTGAATTGGATTTATGTGACAATGTGATTAATAGAGACAATGAGACTGAGTACAGATTGGAGATGATAGAGAATTCAAAAGAGTATCACTTTGAGGTAATTATCTACATACATATTATCTATATTAATTTAATGTGTTAATAGTAATATTATACAGATAAAGAAATAATATGATAAATTATTGTGGAGGCAATGAATACTTAATATGTTTAATTTAAGACACATTAATTGTATCGCCGCAAACTGTCTTTAGTAAAGTAATAAAATTTTACAACTTGGCTGCCTGGCTGTTGTCCCTTGCTTACATGGTTATAACATTTTGAAGCAGTTGAGTTTGGACCACCGAACCATAAAGAAATAAAACGTTTTAAGCCACTTGTGTATTTTAAATGAAAGTAATTTTTATGTAATTGAAATTTAATTTCTATTATTTCGAACCAGGAATCTTTCGCGGAAGGTATCTGCGAGAATTTTCAAACTTAACATTTGGTGGCTGTGTCAGAACTTATATACGAATCTACTTAAAAGGTGTTTGTCGTGAGGCTCGACCAAGGTTAATCTTTTCAAGCGAAAAAGGAAAAAATGAAATTAGATAAAAACGCAGAACAGCGCTTTGTAGTGCATGTACTAAGGTTGCTAATGTTTTTGACATTTTGTTAGCTGAACCGGTGGATACTGGATCTTCGCAGCAAATTAGCATACAGTGGCAACTTTTACAAGTACAGTACAATGAATGAACTTTGTGACGTCGAAAGTGTGATACTTAAAAGTATGTTCGAAGGAGTTTCTGAAGAAGAATTAATCAGTGAGATGGAGGTACTATAAACTTAAGTATAAATATAATGACAGACCAGGTTCAGTAAGTTCAAGGTCATCAAGTGTAAAAGGTAAGCACAAATTTACCTCCAATCGAGTTCAAGGAATTTAATGGAGGCTTGAAAGATTGGCTTCCCTTTTGGTCGCAGTTCAAAGTAGTGCATGATGATCCATCAATGTATTAAAACGATAAGATAGCTTATTTGAGACAAGTCACTGTGGAGGGTAGTAAGGCCAGGGGAGTTTTGCTGCAGTAGCCTAAAATTACTCAGATTATTCAGAATATGCAGTATAGGTTTGGCAGAGGATCTCCAGATTTACGTTTAAGTTTCTAGTGGTCCTTGTAATATTTCTGCACTTTATGATGTGATTGAAACTAAACTTCGTTTACTTGAGACCTTGGGCATAACTGCTGACAACTATGTGGCAATAATATATCTCCTTATTAAGTCATGTTTACCAGAAGATATGATTCGACTATGGCATAAATCTTCGCAGTTTTGAAGGCCTTCTGGTTCCGTGACCATGGAGGATACCAAAGAGGCTTCAGAGGTTAGAACTTTAAAAATAAGATTGAAGTGAGAATTCAAAATAAACAAAAAATTGAATTAGAAACGAAAGGATTTGGTTTACCAACTGAAAATAAAAATATATCAAATGACCTAATTATATAAAATTACCTAAGCAAGGAACTGATTGGCGTTTGCTGCTGATCAGTTCCTTGGCTGTATAATATTAATTTGGTTGTAGATCGCCTTCAGTTCACCGAAAGTCTTCAATTTTAACGTCCAGGACTGATCACCGTAATATTGTTCTGAAGCTATTTTCTTGTGGCATTGTAAATTAATTACTATTAAACTAAGAATAAGCCACAATTAAAGATAAAAATACGTTTATTGAAGTTTCCGAAGTGGAAATTGAAACGTCAATAAACGTATTTTTATCTTTAATTGTGGCTTATTCCCAGTTTAATAGTAATTGATCACCGTAATGTTGGTAAATATCAATATAAACTAATGTGAGATAATGCATATTCAACAGTCTACATAAATGGATGACAATATATGAATATTATCTTTTGGCCAACATTGTATATATGTTATCTTTATACCGAGTGTTGAAATTTGTATTTATGTGATTAAATTTATTATCTATTATTACTTTATTATCAAAAAGCGTTTTTAAATCAAAATAAGAGAATATAAATAGATATTTTATTAATAGTTAACAATCTCACTAACAAAGACTTTGTAAAATTTTAGGTTCAGGCATTTACCAAAATTGGCCTGGGAGTGAAATCGCCAGTAACATCGGTGAACACAGCACACGAACATCCAATACCAACTCTTCTTGTAGCTGCAGAAAATTCAATATACATAGATGATATAGATCTTAACAGAACTATTGCTTTAGTGGACAGTGTTACTGAACCTAAACAGATATCATACCTTGCTAAAGAAAAAAAGATATTCTGGATTGACAAGAAAGGGGAGATGTTTGAGCGAAACATGTTAAGGAATGTTCAAAGTAAAATTCATGACGTAAGATCTGATTCTGATGGATTGACGTTAGATTGGATAGGCAGGGTGTTATATTATATTCAAAAAGTGGATGGTCATAATAAATCAGCAATTTTTAAAGTTGATCTCAACCAAGATTTATTGGAGAGTGTGAAGGTTTTAGAAAGCGAAGAAGGTTTTATAACAAGACTAGAAGTTTCTCCTTTTACCAAAGCATTGTACTGGATTGAAATAACAAAAGATTCAAAATACAAATTAATGCAGAGCGATATTTTCGGAAGTAATGTTAAAAACTTTTTTATTGATCATAAAAGCGCCCCTAACAAACCATGCAATTGTCCCTATAAACCAGAAATTGGTCCTTTTTTTACTCTTGATCATTCAGATATCAACGCTCGACCAAAAGTAATATTTTTGGATATCTATACCCAAAATCTTATGTGGTCGGACAAAGATGCTGAATCATGTGGACTATTAGCAGATTCGAACTACATTAGGGATGGTTTTCCTCTTACTAATTTAGAAGCTGATTTTGTCACACTATATTGGACCCAAAAAGGAGTACTGCATGCCTTAAATAGGAAGGAATATAAATTATTTACAAAAGAGGTAAATTTATTTAGTTTTATATTTTTAATATAATAATTTGGGAATTTCTCCTTCTCGTCATATTTTTGAAGAATTCGATACTCGCTTTTTTTAATTTTTTTTTTAAGTTGAGTATATTTAAAAAAAATCGTGAAGATATCGAAAGAAATTTTAAATCGTTAGATAAAATTTTATTTTTCAGATCGACGTTTCCGATATCATTATTTACGGAAAGCATATTCAACCTTACCCACCAGTAAGATGTCTCAGTCCGAAACAACACAACAACTACACGCTTTCTTTAAATTCGAAGTCATTCAATTCGTTAATACTAACGATGCCAAAACCGTCTGTTCATGAAGACTGTTCCAACATATCCATGGCTAGCATAAAGTATATGATATACTACAGCAAATATGTTGATGGATTTGATTGTTTCGAAACACGAAATTGTTCGGAGCTGGTAACTTTTAACGAAACCCAAATTATTAACGAACTGAAACCATACACAAGATATTTAATAAGAGTTTCCGTTAGCAATTACTACAGTGATGTGCATAGGATTATTATTGGACCACCGAGCATATTTCAAACTTCCCCAGGAGGTGAGCTATATTTTAATGTTTTATTGTTACATATGTTATATTTTATTTCTCCTTGCACCCTTTAGATTATATCCCATAACTTAAGTTGAAGAGTAACACGATTATTTTCTTTCGTAATTTTAATATTTTTACTGAACTTCAAGCAAACCATTTTCTAGGATGTTAGCTCTACTTTGATTTCGTTTTTGTGATATTCAGAAATAATAATTAATATATTAGATTCAATTTCATAAACAAGTTGCAGAGCAACATGGTTATTTTCTGTTGTAATTTTAAAATTTCTGAATGTGAAACAGATCTGAATTTTACAAAAAAAATGCTAGATATCTAGTAGTCAAAAAATGTATTTTTTGATACCGAGATGTACTTCTTTCAACTACAATTACACAACTATAATTTTTAACATTCCAAAATTCGCCTGTACAGCTGGAAATCATCAGCAGATACACCTGAACGAGTGGTCCTAAACCAAATAGACTACATTTATGTATACCGATAGATTATAATATTTTGGTAGGAAAAAAAAGAGAAATTAAAAAAATTACAAGGGTAAAAAAGTTAGTTATTATTGATAGGGAAAAGATGGAAGATAATACCGTAAATAAAGAAATAACCGGCATACCAAAAGAAGTTAAAACAAAGCAATGAGGGAGGTGTTCAGGAAGACTGAAAGATAATGAAAAATGTATTACAAAACGTTCTTCTTCTGCATATCGATCATCCTTTAAGGACATTGTCGACCATCATGGCCCATTTTACGCTGTCTGTGGCAGTTCTGAAGAGTTCTCTTGTTATTTTTCTACTCCTCTGTTTAAAATGTTTCAACCGGGACGTGCGTCCTCTCCCCGGTCCTCGTTTTACTTCCACTTTCCCTTCTGTCACCAATCGTAATAATTCTCACATCCTGATGGTCTACTTCTGTGTTCCGTAATATGTTTGCCAGCCTTCTAGGTTGTATTTTGCGGAACACTCTCTCAAAATCAACTAGACATAGAAATACGTCACAGTTGACATCTCGACACCGTGCTATGAGGGTTTGTACAGTAAATAATGCATCCCGTTCATGTACACTGGCAAAAATACTTTTAGAACATGGTTCAGCAAGCTGATAGTTCTATATTCTTCACTTTTCATTGCATTGGTTTTTGGGTATTGGGATGAACTGGATATTAGCCATTCTTTCGAAATTTTCCCGGTGTAGTAAATTTTATTGAATCTATCATTATATTAATGTGGTTTTCTGTTAGTAGTATTAAGATTTATGTAGGTATTTCATTCGGTTCAATGACTTTACAATTTAAATATTATAATGCTTTTGCAATTTCCCCTTTGGTAATTGTAGGTTTATTTCTACCTCTTGGTTCTATTCTCTCCATTCTTTCATCGTGTTCAAATAGCTCTTTTATATATTCTTCCCATCTATTTACTTTCACTGCACTTTTAATTACTATTTTATTGTTTTTGTCCATTATGTTTTTAATACCTCTTTTTTGTATATGTCAACTGTTTCTTTAATTTTTCAGTATATGTTGAAGCTGTCATTTTGTTTTTCTAATCTTTCTATTTGTACACATTTTTCTGATAGCCATAATTCCTTCGCGGATTCCTTTGATATTTTGCGATTGTTTTATTGACCTTTTTGTATTATTGTTCGTTTTTGCTCTTGTAAACAGAAGTTCGAGGAAACAATATTAAGTGTATTCAAAACGATAATTAAATAAAGGTAGATAACTGCAAAAAGACTGACGCACATAGCCCTAAGAAGAGAAAACAGAAATAAAGATAAAAAAAAGAGAAAAAAAGAATGTAATGAAGAACACACTACGAGGCACCTTTAAAAGTATACACTCTTGCGTCTAATCATAAGGAAAAAATCAAGGGTAGACCAGGTCCTAGTAGGAGAAGAACATGATGACTTAAAAACTAAAAACAATATTACGGAAAATCAACACCATATTTATTTAGAGCTTCTATCAATGAAGTCATAACATATGCTCATATAATACAGCGAATATGGTACACATATATGATATTCAACAAACGATAATAGTCTTGGAACTAGAACAACCTAAGAAAGTTGCTGCTTTGTTGATAAAACTTTTAAAGTTTTGCAGGATCATGGTAACTAGAGAAGCTTATTCCTATATGTTTGAACTTTGATATAATATATTTTAGTTTTATTGTTGATGACAGATTTGCATCTTATCACGTTAAGCCCCGGACCATCATGACATAAGTTTTCTGTCAGACCGGAACATTTTTTTAATAATTTTGAAATAAGAATGTGTATAACTATTTATTTCTATTCTAAAATAAAAACAAAATACATTTTTTAAGTAAAAAAACAGCATGTACCAACAGGGTACACACGGTCTATTTATAATTATTTTTGTAATTTGTTTGAATGTGGACCATGTGTGCCATATTGGCTCACACCAGGAAGATAATCAAATACCTTCTCCCTAAGATATTTTAAGTTTAAAAATACAAAAACAATTTATTTTTTCAAAGAACATGTATGAATATTCACAAAACACTTAACACACATATATGCGGTATTAACGGCACATGCCGGACAAAAAGTGTACACCCTTTTGGCATTCTTCATCGCTGATGTTCTTCCTTCACGGTTCGAAAAGTTCTTGTAACATACTGAACACCTTCCCCTTTTCTCTTTCTCGTCCAACGCATGCAGAGTTGTTAAAGAGTTTTCAGAAGTTGTTTGAGTCATTAAAAGACTTTGAACAATCTGTTCACGGAACTCAGTAATTAATTGAGAGATGTTTGCCAGTAGCAAATTTGTAGAGAACTAAAGAGTTCACAAGTGCGGTATTTGTTAGTAATTCCACAGCCAATTTACGATACCACTTTATACTTCGTCGAACAGGGGAATTATATGCAGCCTTTTGATCCCACACATCGATAAAAGATTTTGCAGAATTATAGTCAACAATGGTCGATGGTTTGGGAACAGGTCCACGTTTTGTTTGAACATCTATCATCAAATGAATATCCTTGGTCGTTAAAAACAAAACGTCCCGTTTATCTTTCCATTTTCCGATAATAACTTTTGTATTACTCTGTAGATACTTCATGTCACCTCTTTTTAATTTTGCATCGACTACCGCTTTGGGATTATGTTTCCTATTGGAACGTAATGTTCCGACTAAATGGGTTTTCCTATTATTTAAATTATGAGCCAAGTCAACACTCGTATAAAAATTAGTTAAGCAAAAAAAAAGTAAACTACAAACAGAATTTGTGCATTTCTAAATAACTTACCTATCCTTCTTGTATCAGCCTCCTTTTGGATACAACTAGGACCTGCAGTTATTTTATTTCTTGATACAACATCGTCACTAACAGCTTCCAGGCTAACGTTTGCAGACTCAGCTTTTTCTACAAAGCAAAAAAAAGTAAACTACAAACCGAATTTGTGCATTCTTAAATAACTTACTTATCCTTCTTGTATCAGCCTCCTTTTGGTTAGAACTAGAACCTGCAGTAAATTCTTTGCAATTTTGTGTTTGTTTGCAAATTTTAGCTTTTTTTCTACGAGACTCATATTCACTACTGTATGAGTCTGAAGAACCATCAGTAACATTTTCATTGTACACTGGATCGGCATCAGAATCATAAAACATACTTTCAGACATACTAATATCACTAAAGTCACTCTCCTCAGCAATTCTGCGAAGTTCGTCTTCCGATAGTCCTTTACGGAACATTATCTTATTTTTTAGTTCCACTTTTTAACAAAAAACTGAAGAGAAAATAGTCTTAGCCTCGTTAGACGTTCAAACCGATACTGACTGAAGCATGTTAGAAATTATAACCTAACCTGTTTGTGAACACGTGGTTTAACGGACCAACCTCTGATTTTGTTTACCACAGACCGTTTACACACATTTATACATAAGAAAGCACGGCAAATGCGATCCTCGACGAGCCACGGCATTAGGAACACGACACTTCGCTGTGGCCTGATAGGTACACACGGTCCCAGATAAAACTAGAGTGTGTGCCAGTGTGGTACACATGGGGCTTAACGTGTTATTGTCACTCCATTCCATCTTTTACACGGTCGTCCGATACTTCTTCTGCCGATTGGTGACTTATCTCTTGCTATTTTGATGACACGGGTCTCCTCCATTCTACTTATGTGGTTATTGGCTCTATAGATTATCTTATGCTTCGACCTTAATTACCATTTTATGTCGAAACGAATTAGGTAACACCATGTTAATTCGTTAGTCGTTCATTTTTATTACATTTTGTAGAAAACTAAAAATAAATAGACAGTATATATACTTGTTTGATTTTTCCCGGTGTGAACTTAAGACTAGTAAAAATCACCATTTAATTTATTGAAGATTAGTCTAATTAATCCGTGTATGTCATTTTGTTATCCATATTTTTATATTCCCATTAATAATATTTTAGTGCCTTCTAAACCAAGGAATGTATCAGCTATGGTACTCAGTCCAAACTTGGCTTCGATCACCTGGTTACCGCCAGAGGAGCTAAACGGAATTATTGTTTACTATGAAATTCATTACCAGACTGAAAGCACTCCACTCGGCGTTCGACATAAAGGAGAACTGAGTGTAAACAGTTCTCATGCACTCAGCTCCTATCTGACTACGTTATCACCCAATGAGACGTACACAGTTTGGGTGAGAACGTACAGTGAAACCAATGAAACGTCCAGCGACAGTGATCGAGTACAAATAACGACGTATCCAGAACCCTATGCTTTGACTTTAGAAAATACAACAGCCTATGATATGCAGGTAAATTTTTTAATACTTTAACTTAAATCATAAGAATTAAAAGTTTTAATTTAACTAGAATATGTGAAATTTTCTTAGCCTTCATTATTTTAATCTAGCACACAACACCAACTACGTTTGCCCATATAGCGCAATGCCCCTACAACAAATGTTTTGTTTCATCAGTTGTTCATTATCCTAGTTATCCAGATTTATTAATACGGCTCACACTTCCTCTAAAGCGAAAATTCACTCATCCCAGATACCCACGATATCAGAAGGATTGAGCTCTGATGGAACTCTTTCCATGTTATCGAGCCCTAGGTGACTTGAAGAGTCAGGCGGGCTGTCACCCAGGCAGTACGGCTTCAGAAAGAACAGGAGCACGGTGGATGCGCTAATGGAAGTCTTCCGGAAATTACGCGGGGTAGGGGTTAACCAGAGGTGGGCAATCCTACTGTTGTTTGACGTCCGGAATGCTTTCAACACATTAAAATGGAAAGAGGTAATGAAGGCCCTACGAGAGAGAAGGTGTCCGAGGTACTTGATGAATTTGGTCTCCGACTATTTGTCAGAGAGGAAAATTGTGGTAGAAAAAGGAGTAGTGGTTGACGTGACGGCTGGAGTGCCACAGGGGTCGGTCCTAGGACCCACGTTATGGAACTTGGCATATGACGGGGTTGTGAGCCAACAATACGGAGAGGGTGTAACCCCATTCGCATTTGCGGACGACCTCGCTATGCTGATAGTGGCGCGGGACAGGGAGGACCTTATCTTTGGTGCACAGCGCACATGCAACCAAGTTGAGGAATGGATGAAAATGCATGAGCTAGAACTGGCTGGGGGTAAGACCGAGGCTATAATTCTCAAGGGACCAAGGAAAAGGGACGGGATAACATTTGAATATGCAGGAAAGATAGTGGTTCCAAAGAAATGCGTGAGGTATTTAGGGGTGACCCTGAGTCAAAACGGAAAGTGGGGGGAGCACGTAAAAGCGGTGACTCAAAGAGCTGCGGTGAGATCCGCTGCATTGGGAGGGATCATGCCCAACATCGGAGGGCCCAAATCTGAGAGGAAGAGGGCCCTTCATTCTGTCGTGCAATCGATCGTTCTCTACGCTGCACCGGTCTGGAGTTCTGCAGTTTTAACAAAGGCGTACAGAAAATAACTCACTCGACCAGATAGGAAGAGCCTATTGAGGGTTGCGTGTGCATACAGAACAGTTAGAAGGCGTTAGGAGTTATCACTGGGTTTATTCCAATGCACGTGCTAGTGAAGGAAAGAGGAAAAATATACGAGAGAAGAAATGAAGACATAGCAATAGAACGTTTAAAAAAAAAAGAAGAAAAGGAAAGGTCCATAATGGTGTGGCAAGAGGAATTAGATGAGATGAGAAGGGTGGCGCAGTGGACAAAGTCGTTGATTCCTAACCTGAGAAGATGGATGGATTGCGGGCACCGGCGTTTGGATTATTTCCTGACGCAGATGCTCAGAGGACATGGTTGCTTCAGGGCATACCTTTACAGATTTGGAAAGGCAGAAAATGACAAATGCCTGTATTGTGGAATATCGGACACTGTCTCACACACCCTATTGGTATGCGATAGATGGATAGTTAAGAGGAGCCTGCTTGAGAGAGAGTTAGGAGGTAGGGTGCAATCAGTCACGGAATTGGTGGAGGAGATGCTTAGGTCGTCAGATCGGTGGAGAGCAGTTCAGAGATATGTGAGGAAAACATTGGAAAGAAAGGAACAAGAAGAAAGGCGACCCGAAGATAGGCAGGGTGCCCAGGACCAAGCAAGAAGATAAGGCAGAATGAGTGAGATTTAACATGAATAGAGAGGAATAGAGGGAGAGAAGAATGCCGTCGTAGTGAGAAAGTGCTAGAATGCGTGAGAATTGTGTGAATAAAAGTTTAGGGTGAATGCCGTGCCGAGGTTGCATCCCAATCAGAGCGATCCGGCAGGTAATTCACCGCTGAGGAGGGTGTTTTTTTAGCAGGTAGGTCTCTGGCATTGGCGGCGATGGTGTCCGAACAACCCGAGCGATCGGTCTCGGATATTATCGTGGCCACGCTGGAGGAGTCCTGCATAACCGAGGCTGGAAGGCGGTTCTGCTCGCCTTCTAGGACCGAGGTATGTTTCGAACATTTTGGATCGCCCCCCCTCATAAAAAGAAAAAAAAAAGTGACTTGGTACGTCGGAATGTTGGGAGTAGTATCGCTTTCTGCATTGTCTTATAGAGATGCTCGTTAAGGCCCAGCTGTTTTATATTCCCTAGGATGTTCTTCGAAATACCTCCAGTAGTAGAGAGAATAATAGCTATCGTCTGGTTACTTATTCACTGTCACCTTATTTGAATTTCCAGATTTCTGTACTTGACGATCTTTTCGTTGTATTTAACACACAGTTTAATATTGTTGACACTGGTTGATCTGTGAGCACAGTGCGCTCTCAGTATAGCTTGTCGTTTTCAAGAATTCTGTCAGGGACGTATTAATATTAAGGATGATGGTCGGTTTAAAAAAGTCCTAGTTTGTTAACTAGTTTTTAATGAATAATCTTTCCTACTAAGTCATAGCATTCTTTATAATCAGTACCGACAAACGCCTGGAAATCCTTATCAGCATTTAACGTTTTAGACCTGAGGGTCTTTGACAATATATTTCAGGGTAATTTTTAGTTGAAATAACCTGATCCTGAATGGCAAATAGGAAACCTTCTATCTCGATAAACATCTTTCCTGGTGTCAACCAATAGTTCTGCACTGTTTTGTCGACATATTATTGACTGATCTTATGTCGCCCATGCAGAGGTTTACTCATCCAGGTGCGAATTTTTGCTTGCTAAGGCAGGTGGTTTATGTGCATTTCTTGTTCCCTGAGTTTAAGCGACGTTATAAGCGGTATCTACTGTGTAAATTGGTCTTACTCTTCTTTCGAACTCGAAATTAGTTCGGTTTTATTCTAATTTTTTTTATTTGCACAATATTTTTGATAAATATATTTAAACTATTGTACAATTATAATGCATAATGGTTTCGTTGATTTCAGCTATTATGGAAACCTACCGAACATATTGAGCTATACCATATTGAATATTCCTTGTTGACAACAAGCGAGTGGCAACAAATCGATACGTTTAATAAAAAGAATGACAGTGTCTCTATTGACGTATTTAATCTTAAACCAAAAACCCATTACAAATTTAGATTAAGGCTTATGTACGAAGGGAACGATGAGGAGTACATTTGGCCAAAGGATTCCAGGTTCACTTTTGAGACATTAGGTAAACATTATTACGAAATTTAATTTATTAATAGGTATATGTGAAAGCGGCTGTAAAACAATTGAGAAAATGCAACATTTGTTTCTTTGCCTGGCATGCTGAAGCAAATAATGCAAGAGCATTCGTTGAATTATCTGCATTCAACAGAGTTGATTGTCTGTATGAATCAATTTAGCTATTCCCGATTTGGAAATACAGTTTTATGTATCAATATCAATACGTTTTTGCCTTATTTAGTTCTGTACAAGTATTTATAAAAATAATATGACTACCCCAACAAACTTCGAATACTATAAAATATAAAATGCAATCTGACCTGTATGCCTCAGAGTCGGAAAACATGAGTACCTATACTTTTCTATAGAGAAATATGGACATGTGATTAAACACATACATTTATTACCTACCTAGATAAATGTGTCGAATTAGATCAAATCATCATCATCATCACTACATTCACCTCTTCTCAAAAAAATTATAATTGGCTCTATTATTTCTTCTAGTTTTTTTTTTAATTATTTTTGTAGTATTCCTTCTTTTTACCTTTATTTTTTGGTTATTAGCCAATATAAGAACTTTTTTTAAGTTACTGTTAGGAAATGGTTCTAAAACTGCAACAGAATTTATAATTAGAAAATGTAGCATCTTAATTTGCTACGTATCTGCTTTCGTAGAGTTTGAAACAAATTCTAACAAACCTTGATAAACAAATCCTTTGTCTTCCCCAATATGAGTGGTAATTAAACGACAACATTTATTGGTGTCCTTAAAATGCTTATCCTCTATGGGTCATCCGTGATCTGCTCTGAATAAACCTGTTTAGGATATTTCCATCCATGTTCGTAGGTTTCACAGCTATTATATATTATTGCATCCTGTCAACCTTTTAGCAGACATTAATAGACACGAAACTTTACCGAACATAATAAGAGACAAATTGTGGAAACGAATCAGAATTCGTTTGTATACCAGTTGTAAATTTGAATCCAGTAAGGCAAACTTTCAATAAACCTCTGACTAGCTTTATAACCTGTTTATTTCCCCAATTTTTTCTTAAACATGTCCTTCATTAATCCATGTTTTATCGAGATAAACAATATTAGTGCTTTTTCTTCTGTTTTTGAATTTATGTTAATGTCGCCTTCTCCAACAAATTATTTCTTCTTTCTCTATAAGCACAATCGTGCTTCTTCCATACGCACTCTTATTTATGCAAAACTTTACACAATATGTTTCTTATTATGTTTCGAACAGTTTCGCCACTATTAATGTCTGCTAAAAGATTGTGTAAACAAGGCATCTTATTTTGAAAATAAAATGAATGCACGTTCCTTCGAATTGTTTGTTTTACAATATCACCATACATCATACATCATCTTACAACATTTTCTACATCATCTTTCAATATCATTTTATATCATATTACTACATCATACAGTATCTTCTACATCATCTTAAAACATCATATTCCCTTTATATTACCCTTTATATAGCTGTTAGAGCCTTCAAGTATCTGTATAAGAAGGTAAAAAAAAATAATTAGACTTAATCATAATCAATTTAATTTTACTACCTCAGACGACCGGTTTCGCTTTCTAAAATTTGCAAAGCATCATCAGGTCGGTGGTACAAAGTAAATTAAATGCTGAAATTATAAAAAGCTCATATTAGGGGGCTGTCAGGTATAGATAAAAAGTATAGATCAAAAAAGTTTTAGTAATTATGCCAATATTACATGCCTGTGGTAATTAATATGCATAAATTGCGTTTGCAGACAGAGTAACAACCCACAACTTGTTAAGATAAAAAGTCTGTTGAATTGTGATACATTAGAAATAAACAAAATACTACTTACATTCCGGTACAAGAATTACTATATAGTGATTGGTGATTCATAGTTCAAACTTTCTTTTATTACTAAAAGTGATCTTCGGTCAAAGTTGTAACTGTCTAACAACTTAGGAGGAAGTTTCTTGAGGGGATGAGTGTTAACAGATGATGTAGGAGTAGGGTATATGTTATTGTTTGTTGAAAGAAAATGTGATGTTTTATATTATTTAAAATATTATAGTTATTTATATTTATTGAAGAGATATATTTTGAAATATGTGTTAAATTATTGAAATTTTTTAATAAAGAAAGAGGACAGTTATATGACGATGAATGAAAGTACTTGTAATATTTTGTGGGTGTGCAATTTCTTTGACTTGTAATTATAAACTTTTGATTGAAAAGCATTTAATTTCTGCTAGGAAGAGAATTGTGATGTCAAATGTTAAAAAAAATAATAAATTAAAACAAACTTATGGACAAACAGGACACAATTAACAGGACAAAACAAACATAAAATTTTAAAATAGGGATTTATAGGCACTACATTACTTGCTAGGAGATTAATTGGACTTTTTTGTTGTCTACTACCATTTTTAAGAGGTAAATTTGACAAGATAATGTAGGTTAAAGTGTGACAGCTCTTCTTCTATTTCTAAAGTTAACCAAGTTGTTGAAGTTAACAGACTTTAGTAGTTGAACAATTAAAAGAAATTGGAAATGTAAGCCAATGTGTATAATATTGGCATACTTTTAACAATCACGTACTGAATTAAATTTAACTTTAAAATTAAAAAAAAATTTAAGTATGACAATCAAATTAATTGAAATAATTTTAATATAACAAATTTTGAAAATTTTAAAGAACCAGAATTACAAAATAAATGTAAAAATTATCATTTGATAATCGCTAATAATCTAAATGTGTAATAAAAATACAATTTTTTTGAAAATTTTTTGAAAACAATGATTGTCGATGTGGACGAGCACTCTGCAATGGTATAATTTAAACTTATTCGTGTTAGTTTTATTATTTTAATGGGTAAAGCAGAGAAGTAGATAAAATTGTTTATAGCAACATATTCCAAAATTTATTAATTAATTAATAATGAAGTTAACTAATTGGCTATTTAAACGGTGTGTAACAGTAAATTTTAGTCTTATTTTAAGATTTAAATGTACCAGAGCAAGAGGCAACGTCCACATCGGTATTGGTAAGTATGTACAATACTTACCAATTACAAATTACAAATGTAATTTAAGATTAAAAATAGTTGATTTAATTTGAAAAAATATGTCTGAACGATTCTCCAGTGATGTCTTAGAATTAAAAAAAAACCACGTGTTAAATTTGATCAAGTTCTAATATAATGAGTATATATTATAAATATTAAAAGTCAGGTGGACTAAATTAGAAAATTTTGTGGTAAATAAGTTGAGTTTGTACCACCGACCTGATGATGCTTTGCAAATTTTAGAAAGCGAAACCGGTCGTCTGAGGTAGTAAAATTAAATTGATTTTGAGTAAGTCTAATTATTTCTTTTTTACCTTTTTAAAATGGACTCACATAAGCAACACATTCATGATTTATCTGTATAAGATTTTTACCTGATTTTTTCACAGCTTTTTAAATTAGACTGGTCTAGCCCTGTCCAGAAAAAAAACCAAAAAATCTTATTCTAAATGTTTTAAAAGGTATACGAGAGGTAGCTGATAACAGTTATGTGAAGACTTGAGGAAGTTTTTTAATAAACAATCGTAAAAAGTGGAAACAAAAATAGTTTTTACGTAAAAAACGTACATATACATTTTAGAGAAAAATAGTTCAAATAAAAGTTATAGATCATAAAAAGGTCTCTAATATTTAGAGGTTTAAAATTAAAAGGTAATTTCAAAAAACCCCTATTTTTGCAGTAATTTATAAATGGTCTTTATTTCGTTTTTTGCATAATCACAATGTAACTATTGAAAATTGTGTCAGTTAATGAGTTATTAAATTGTACTAAATTTTAAACGGATCGACCAAATAACTTATAAGTTATTTAATTTGTTTATTCCGAAGAGCGATTATTTAAACGACTGTACTAGCCCAAAAAGTCACAAATTTATAATAACTTTGACATTTTTTTTGTCATATACTTGTATGTCGGCTCAATGAAAAGTTGGTAAAAAAACTCACTTTTTAAGACGATCTAAATTATATTATCCATCTGATAGATGGCATACACACTAAAGAAGTAAAAAGTTATAACCCGTTAAAATTATGGTACTCGTAAAATACCGCCACTGAAAAGTCGAGGGGAGAACTATCCGAGCTTATTTCTTCTTATTAGTCATAGAAGATTTTGGTTTGTTTTTGGAAAGTTTGCTTTAATAAGTTAGCAATAAGTTAGCCCTTTTTCAAACTGTTTTTTAATAACAAATTTAATAAAAGGTTAAGTTTTTTTTTTAATAAATCTCATAAAGGAGGCTTTAGAGAATCTATTGCGCCTTATAAAATACCTCTAGAGTTACTTTTTGGATAAGCACAGTTGTTTAAACAATCACTCTCCGGGTGTTTATGCAAAAACATAGATATTTAACATTTATAAATTCTATGCCGTCCCTATTAACGGAGGTTGGCGACCACATTTCTAAAAGTTTCTCTGTCTTTTGCAACGTGGAATAATTCGTCTACCGTCATGTTTGTCCAATCTTGAATATTTCACAGCCATGACTTCCTCTTTCTACCTATTCCATTTTTGCCATCGACTCTACGCTGCGTGATGACCTGAAGAAGACTATATTTATCATTCATCAGTATGTGTCCAAGGTATGCAGTCTTGCATACTTTTATTGTTCTCGACAATTTTTTGACTCGACCCATCCTTCTTAGAACTTCCTCATTGGTGACCCTGACAGTCCATGGAATTCTCAATATTCTCCGATATATCCAAAGTTCAAAGACTTCTTAACTATTTGCGCTTTTACCGTCCATTTTTCTACCCCGTACAATAGTTGAGACCAGACGTAACATTCAACAAACCTCAGTCTCAGCGCAGTATTCAGATTTTGTCACAGAATAATTGCTTGAATTTTAAGAACGCTATCCTAGCCATTTCTATTCGTACCCGGATCTCTTGGTCTGTATCTAATTCTGTGTTGCTGTAAGCTTCCAGATATTTATAGT